GCCATAGGTGCCATTATTTCATGTTTGAATATACTTCGATTATGCAAAATGTTGCCCTCTTATGAAACAAATATATTCTCACTTTTTAGTAGTAATTATTGGCCAACTAGCGATCAACAAGTATGTAAGATTTATTTACTTTTTGGAATTATATTTAGCATATGAATCACTTATTAGGCACGCGACGTTGCCAATAGTTTACCTTGTCCAGCTATTGTATGCTTATCTGCCGAAGATTGCACAATTCAAGATATGTTGAGTTTTTGTTCGCTTGCACCGAATTTAACTAATCTAAAGATCATAGATCTCACACGAGCACGTCACCAGAGAAATTCTTCTTTTCTTTCAGCTTTTATCCCACAGCCTACACATCTAACTCAATTACACATTACAGTCAATGATGTTGAGTATTCAAATATTAATTCAATTACAAAATTGATAACGTGTTATCAATCATCTGTCGAACATGTTACCTTGATCATTCATACTTTTCAGCTTTTGTTTCACGGACGAAATCTAGAAGCATTATTTCAACCCTGTCAACGTCTTAAGAAACTGGTCTTAGTCTTCCAACATACGAATAGTGAAATTAATATACTTGAACAATTGCAACAATATCAAAGTGACTGGTGGTTGAACGATCGACAACTACCAGTACTCATTCAACGTGATCCTAATGGTCATATCTTTATTGGTACAATGCCATGTATTCATCCTGTATCAATGAAATTCTCCACTGATCTAAAAAAGTGGTTGATAAACAAAGGAAATCTTAATTCATGGCAAATTTACTTTACTAAAGTGAGAAGAATCAATTTTGTTACCAATCAAAATCAACCAATCACTCTCGATTTGTTACATTTCATTGGTCATGCATTTCGTTCATGCTATCAAGAACTTAGTTTCACGAATTGGAAATTAAGTGAGCAGGTTCGTGCCTACCTATATTCATTGCATATACTATATGAAAGTCGACAGAAGACAATGGAGGAGTTGTCAGGAAAAAGAACTAGTTCAACATTTCTCAGATGTCCTGTACCTTGACTATAGTGTATCCATATGCTAGCACGCTAATCTATTAGAAAAGTATTTTAAGCAGAAATTGAAGCAACTAGCGCATGCTTCACATGATTATCTATTCAAATAAAAATCAAGTCCCAAAAAATGGTCGATCAATTTTTAGTTGGTTTTGTATGTTAGAAGTTAGAATATGTATTTATTCGTAGTGTAATTGATTTGAGTATCGCTCGAGTTTTTGAGCACTGTATGATGAATGTTTGTATATCAAAGATAGATTTTCAATCCAGTTCATCATCATCAAATCGAGTTTATCGAACCAAAACTGAATTTGGCTTCGCTTGCCGTCTCGTACTAATAGCGTTGAGCAACTGTTCTTAGAACGCTGCCTTCTTCTTTGGATAGTCTGGTCAAGGCATTAAAAGGTGCAAAGATATCTCAATACAATCTGGTTGAACTGATAAATTCTAACTTGTTCCAAAGACAAGACAGAATCATCTATCCTCTTTATTAGACAATAACTATTATATATTAAGTTAGACAGCATACAGGAGAGACAATGAGAGAATGTCTGGTCAAATTGTCGCGTTGGTATGATTATCAAAGGATTCAATTTTTGCATAATCTATTGATAGGATAATGAATTGTCTGGAGATATTTGGCACGTACTATCAATATGCTGTTTTTGAGCCTCGAATTGATCAGACGTGAAATGACCTGAGGCAATTTACTCAGGCCTTTTTGTCACGGATACTAATATTATAGCATAACTTACTATGCTGTGACAAGCATCGAACGTTCTAGCTACCACGTAATTAGACAGTATGTGCGAGCAACTCTAGTGATTGATTGGAACTACTCTGAATCAGGCCCAACTTTTTTACAGAGCTGTAGCTAGTAGTAGTTTTTGATGGAAAAACATCAGGGCTTCGAAACTGTCTCTAAACAACTTCAAACTAATATTATTGATAAGAACTATATAAGTAAACTTTCATGCAGTATATGTAGAGTAGGATGTGTCTTTGACAACCAAACAGGAAATACTCAAGTCAACCCTTTGAGTTTGAGTTGTTTTGATTGACTCTAGCAAGTAGTTCAACAGTGTTTCCGAAACCTCGGTTTTGGCATTTTCTATCATCATTCTCCAACTCTAATTTTCTGCCGACAGAAAAATGCTGTGTCACTTGAGCCAGCAGATAAGGGTATTTTTTTTCATTTAGGCAAAAATGATTCAAACGGCTTAAGTGCAAGCCTAGTGTTCTCATCATTCCAATCCACGTCCCCACTCACTAACACCCAGATCCATTACATTCCTTTTTTTTTGTACGAGCTTTACTTTTCAACGATAAAGATTCCTTGCGCTTATCGCTGATCAATCCCATGAAATGCCAACTACTGTTAGAGTGATTAATTAATTGACCTTTTCAATATTTTACTTTTCTAGGTACTGAATACAAGTACGATTTCATTATTACCGAATGTCAAGCATCTTAACATGAACTCATGTGATCTTAATGGAGTGAATGCCTGGACACTAATAACATGGCTTATAATGTCACCAAATGTGAAAGAATTATCTCTAAGATTGAAAACCAATGAAGATAGAATGCAAATCGGTAATGAATTGACTGGAATAGTCAAAACAGATGGTCACTTGAGACTGATTTTTGATCGAGTTGAAACAGTCAACATTTTACCAAATCAAGGTCAAATTGATGACATGTCAAGATTTGATATGTTCTTTATTTTTATTGATCTTTTCCCGAGAGCAACCTTTCCTTATCTGTAAAAATATATTCATAAAAACATTGAGCTTCCAATATTCTCTTATTTTTGTTTATGATAATCATGAGATCAACTGCATTTACTGCTGGTAATTACTTGGGTTGACATCTTAAATCAACATAGAATGAATCGATTCTCAGTATGTCATCGAGTTCTAGCAATATATGGCTATTTGCAGGCAAAAAAAGTCACGAACAGTGTGTTGTTCATGATCGAGGTGGGTGTGGAGTGTGGGTAGAGTGCTGGTGCACGCAACCAGTACACTCACACCCTTTCAATATCTGCAACAGCAATTGGTGCTGACCTTTGTTCGATTACTTTTACATCATATGTTATGTATCTGTTGTATAAATTCAGATGGCTATATTTTTTGCAAAAAAAAACAACTATTGAAACAAGAAATTACTGTTTTCTGTGCAATTCTGTATGTTCTATAATCCGAAAAGAGCAAAAGAGTTTCAACGAAAATTTTGATAGTCTAGAAAACCAATATATGAGGATCTAAGGAGATATTTGATGGTTATACCTTGAAAGCAGTATGACCCATAGCTTACAATCCACTAGCCTTTGATCAGTTGAAAATGTTTCCTCATGAGCTAAGATCAATAATATTCTAGATCACGCATATCTGATTGAATAAACAAACTTAAACACACACAAAACTTTGTTTGTCTTTGCTGAACATTCAATATAAACAGCTGAATCAATTAGTCTCGCTATTTTATGATCTTCTTTCGAATGAATCAATTGTACTGCTTTTTTTCTGTCATTTCTCAGATTTTTCGTAGTTCCTTAGAAGAAAAGCTGAGAGATTGTCGATTAATAACGATCAAACTTATTAGCAAGAATGATTGGAGTTCCTGGATAAACATGTTTACATTCAGGTATCCATTTCTAAAAAATTCATAATAAGAACGAAAATAAATGATCATAATACCTTCATCTCTGGGAGGTTTTTGACATTCAGAATTATCGATCGCAAAGCACATGATAATGACATCACTGTTCGTAAATGAAACTTGTCAAATCCGATAATATTCTTGGGTGTGGATGTAACAATTAGAATCAATGCGAACTGAAGCATATTAAGAAAAACAAATTGATTCTGTACATCGAATAATACTGATTCTACTTTTTGCTTATAGATCTCGCTTTTAGTAGTATAGTTATCGAATGTTGGCTCAATATAATCATCAGACCATTGTTCATCACCAATCGCTCGTTGTAAACAGCATTTTTCTTCAATTAGAACGATGGAAAAAGAATCTTCCAATAAAATATGAAAGAAAAAACTATTACTACAGTCGCGATCATCAATGACAGCAACTTTTCAGTGTAAATTTGTTGTTTTGTTTTCGTGCGACTTCAAAAGAATATCGTTATGTGAAGACAATATTCTATCGTTAGTTAAAGATACACATTAAAGAAAAGAAATATAACTGCAGCTGGATCTGATACCTATAGATCATTACTGTCTATCTGATCATTTTTTTATTCGATTCATTTGTCGGAATTCAAACATTGGCCTGTATGATGTAAGCATGTCTCACGAAACGACAGAAAAATAACTTATTACATGAATTGATGCTCAAAAAAAGGCCTACACAATAAATCATACTAAGTCATTGATGATAGAACTGTTAGATAAAATAAAAGACAATCAAAAGGCTAAACATAAATTGGATTCTTTATCAATTTTTATTAAACTTGTGCACAATTAAATGAATTAAAATTGAAACTAACCATCAGAAATCAATCAGAATGATTAGTAAAGTAGTAATACTCTCATTAAACAAATTAGCTATGGATAATTGAAAATATTGAATTGGAGAAAAATAATTTTTTTCATTTTCATTTGCTAATCTGAGTTGTTCATAATGAATTACAACTACTAGTGATATTTCTAAGATTTTAGTATGTTTCTTTGAGATCAGACCAATGTGTTTCTTTTACTTCTCAATGAGTCACTTTAGATTATTGCACAACAAGAACATCTGTTGTTTTTCTTTTTCGCTTTTTCTTTCTGTCGTAATTGTCGTTTTTTCCCATTCTCTCTATAGGAGCCTATAAAAAGGAGTGTTGCATACAATGCTTTTCATTTTTGTCTACCTTCGACAAGGTATAACATGCTTCGAATCAAAGCTAACACAGAAATAGAGCATCATCATGGTCAGATGCAACATGTACCTCTAAAGCATATGAAGGTTGAAGCAACGATTCGTTCGTTTGCTTCTGATGTAACTATAACACAGGTATTTCAAAACCAGGAGAAGACACCGATTGAAGCGGTCTATTGTTTTCCTATCGAAGAGCGAGCTGCTATTTATTCCTTTAGAGCTCATATTGATGATAGAGAAATCATTGCTGAGTTGAAGAAAAAGAAGGAAGCACAGCATGAATACATTAATGCTTTAAAGCAAGGTCATGGCGCTTATTTGCTGGAGCAAGATGAGAAATCAAATGATAATTTTATCATTAATGTTGGTGCGTTGCCTCCATCGAAAGAATGCGTCATTACTATAGCCTATGTTTCCGAATTAGAATTCGTTCAAGGATCTATAATTCAATTCATAGTTCCAACAACTATTGCACCTCGTTATGATCCCGAAAAAGGTAGTGTTTCATCACCAGCAAATACAAATACGTTGTATGTTCAATCAAGTCCTTACACAATCGGATTTTATTGTCATATTGAAAAGGTTGGACAACAGATTGCTCGAATAAATTCAACATCGCATGCGATTGATGTTGATATGAACCAATCGGATGCTTATATAGTAACGTTTAGTCAAGAAAATACACATTTAGATCGAGACATTCGAATCAATATTGAATTAACAACAAAACATGATAGTACGATTCTTGCTGTCGAATCTAGTGCTGTAATGGTCGCATTTGTTCCTACTGATAGCAATTATTGTCAGCAAACGACATCGAATAATGAATTTATTTTTGTGGTTGATTGTAGTGGATCAATGGAAGACGAAAACAAGATTGGACTTGTTCGAGAAGCTATGCTAATTTTTCTCAAAAGTCTACCGATCAATTGTCATTTCAATATAATTCGTTTTGGTTCTCATTATGAAAGCCTATTTGAAAAACGTACTGTAATCTATAATGAGGAAAATGTTCGAAAAGCCGAAAAACTCATTGAACAAATGAAAGCCGACATGGGTGGTACTGAATTGGTAAGTATTTTTGTTCTTTGATTCTTCATGTTTTGTATCTTTTGGATTAATGTAGCTGCGACCTTTGCAATGGCTTGAACAACAAGCACCTGATCAAGGACGAGGACGTCAGATTTTTCTTCTGACAGACGGAGAGATTTCGAATGTTTCAGAAGTACTCGAACTGTGTCGATCAATGGCTTCAACCAGTCGAATTTTTTCATTTGGTCTGGGTCAATCACCGAGTCGTTCTTTGGTTAAAGGTCTTGCTCGATCGACGAATGGTCAATTTACTTTTATTCCACCGAATACTAGTGTTGATAGTTCAGTATGTGAACAATTACGCAGAGCTCTTCAGCCATGTATTACCAATGTACACATTAAATGGAATCTTGGTGTTGAAGTTCAAAATGCTCCAAGACAATTACCTCCGGTCTATTTCAACGATAGACTCATTGCGTATGGTCTCATTGATGATAAAACTATTCCATTCAAACACGATTCTTCTGTTGAACTTGAGACTCATCCGAATCATCATCAATTAGCCATAGCTCAAGTCAATCGAGTCCCAACTGTAAGCGACAACGGAACCATTGCACGTCTCGCTGCCAAAGCACTCATTCTTGAGTTACAACATGAGAAAGTTCTGTCGAAAGGATTCACGACACAACCACGATTCCAAGCTATGTCATTGTCCAAGGAAGAAGAAATGATGATGAAGAAACAACATATCATCGAATTATCTCTTAAATACAGTATCTTAAGTCCATACACTGCTTTTGTAGGTATTGAGAAACGAATAAATGAAAATAACAGTGATATGGTTTTATGTGAAGTGCCAATTCAAATATCTATGAATGATCAATATTCACAATCAATCCATCCGCAAATGTTCGCTTATTTCTCCCCAAGTTATTCGCCTACTTCACCAAGTTATTCGGCTAATTCGCCATGTTATTCGCCTACTTCGCCAAGTTATTTGCCTACTTCGCCATGTTATTCGCCTACTTCACCAAGTTATTCGCCTACTTCGCCATGTTATTCGTCTACTTCACCACGGTACATGTCAACGTTGTCGAATGATGTATCTCATTCACCGAGATACACAATAAGTTCATCAAATACTGCTTCAACAATGAACGATGATGAAGTCTTCTCTTGGAATTCTTCTGACAACTTAAACGACATGATTGACACGGATTTGGCGTCCACCAACGTAAAGAGAAGAAAGTGCGATACAGATGAAGAGTGGCCAGATAATGATCAAGATATTGTTCGTCACTTGATCAAGAAGCAAACTTTCGATGGTCTCTGGAACTTGAACGCTGAAAGTATTGAACGTTTGACTCAAAAATCTTTAGAAGAGTTTCAATCGAAACATTCTCAAATCGACTGTAAAATCCTTATATCAATCATTGTCATTGCTGTCCTGGAAAAATACTTCAAAACTTCTGAACTATTGTGGTATGCTGTTGCACAAAAAGCTCGAAAACATCTCGCCGAGCTGCTTGACAATCAATCGAAGGATCTCAATGTATTGCTAGCCGAAATTATTCAGAAGCTATGAACAAAAAAGACTTAATGAAAACTTTGAATTTATGCGATAGTATCATGAGTCTATTCAAAGAAATAAATACACTAGAAATTCAATTCATATTTTTTTTTTGAGTATCTAGAACCTTTAGGTTTTTTTGTTACTCACACTGGTAGAATTAAAGAATAGTCAATATGTATTCTTTACTTTGACAAGTATGAATAGTCAAATGATTAGTTCAGTTAAATTGATAAGTTCAAGCTTGATCATGAAAGAGATTCGATAGTCGACTTGAATAACTCAAAAAATTGTTGGGTACTTCTTCCAATCAACGACACCGCGGCACTCACACTCTTTGATGCTCCCTCCGCTCTCTTTGATGTGTGTTGTAAATTTAACCAATATGGCGAAGGTGTCGTCGATCTGAAGCAGAACCAATTATTCGTCAAATGTATATAATTATTTGAACAAGAATAGATTCAACTAAGAAAGAATATAAGATAATATGTCAACTTCCAGTGAGTCGTGTCATCAAAATAATACTTTTTATTTTAAAACGAGATTTTCTTACTTATCTGATTTACATGTTCTTGAGAGATTCAGCGCACGTAAAATTAATTTCAACAAAGACTTGACCAGATAAAAAAATTATCGTAAAATGTGTTATAAAATGTTTAACTAGGACTGTTATAAACTTGTATGCTTGAAACTTCATAACACGATACTTATCGATTGAATAAGGAACAGTATGTGTATGAATTATTGATTATGTAGTTATAAAGAACTTCGATACCATTGGTTAACGTTATCATCGACGAAAGAATAAGTGATTTTAAATGATAAATCGTTTTTTTTTATCCTGATTGATGGATAAAAATGCATTAAAACCTGTTGATATAAGAATAAACCCGTTATAATACGTTCAACTCTTTGATCCATCATATCAGCGAGTTCTAATGCATTCTTTTCTCCATTTTTCTATCAAAACGCGTTGAAACACCATTTTTAGAATTTATTCATGTATTTGTTCGCTTTTCCTATTCATCATTATAATGTCGATTCTTAAACTATGGATGTAAAAGACAAGCAAACAGACTGTTCGCATGCTAAGTGTACGAACAAAATATTAACTTACGCAAACTTTCTCAATAGAAACATTTAGCTGCTTGCTAGCTGTTGAAGAATACCGATAGACGAATAAGAATCTTAAATGTAGATTTCGTGAAGTATTTCAAGTTCATTCTTTTTTGACATATTGATGTCAACGAAATGTTGTTTGATCAGCATTATTAGAATTATTATCATCTGTAAAAATAGAAATAAACAAATATGATTTATCACTATAGAATACTAATCGAGGAAAAATAAGTAGACAACATATTTTTGAAAAAAAAAGATCTGATACTTTCATTGTTGAACAGGAGAAGGTATTACTGATGATTGTTGTTAATAGTAAGATAGATGGTAAGTGAAAATATGCTGACACTAACGATGAAGAATATTTGAAAGAATGATCGTTCGGAGAAAATGAGAAAAAGATAGTGTTGAATGAATCGTAGAGAAATTATTGTGAGAATATATTCAATTGTACACTTATTTTTATATTAAATTTTGTACTGTATTAAGATAATATATGAAGAATATTCTATTGGACAAGAACAATTTTTTTCTATTTATTTGTTTACGTTCTGATTTTCGAATTGTTGCTTTGAACTTTATATTGATACCGAAGTTAAATTTGTAATAAAGTCTTTTCATTGTGATAGCCACAACGAAAATATTTTGTTTGGTTTAAACTAGCACAAACTTCAGTAATATTTCATAATTTTGATGTTGAAACTGCTGCTTAATTGAAAAGGATATACCAACATAGCAAATATTCACAAGATTTGTCTATAATTTTAAGAGTAGAAATTCCAAGACTAAAGTCAGAGAGAAAAGTTAAAAATATATTGAAATTGCAAGAGAATTCCCACTTACTTGTCTGGAAAAAAACATCAACAAGATGGCGAGTAGCATTTTTATATAATTTGTTGTCGATGATTATGAGACAAGCCTGCTTTTGAAACATGCTCATTTATATATTGTTCTTTTAAATATTTAAACCTAGATAAAATACGATGTTCATCAAGTTTTCGTTTTAGAAATTCATTTCATCTAGTTACTTTAGTTTATGATAGTATATTAAAATTCTGTCCACAAAATCGTTCCGTACGAAGTAAGAGATGAAATAATATCATTTTTCGAATGCTGATGAAAATGTTTTCTTCACATTCTCATCTGTTGTTTGTTCATAAGTAAAAGAGTAACACAATCAAAGTGATTACTATAACAAGCAACATGTAAAACTGTTCTACTATTAGATTCAATCTGATTGATTTCTAGAATAGTGTATTTACTCCATAAGTAGCAAACATTTAATTGTAACATTATTAATATAACACGCCAAATATAGACGACTGAGTTCATTTACACTAGCTGACGAAAAATGACTAATTAGCTATCTATAAAAGATATCAATTGTTCTAAACCTCATTTCATTTTCTTTGTATTTACTTTGAGAGGTATCTGAAATATAAGAATTATGTTCTTTATTTGAATGTAATAATCTATTGATTGATTTAGTTGTTCGTTATTATCATTTATTAATATAATAAAATTAAAGCTTGTCGAATCACATTAAAAATTCGAATAGTTTTTCTTTTTATATAATTTTTTGTTTGAGACAATACCAAACAAGACGCCTCAGCCATGATTATTATTAATTTTGAAACGAAAATGATGTCGATGTGTTTCGCTTGAATAATTATTTTTACTACCTATAATACCAAGGGAGGCATTCATGATCGATTTATTCGATGCATTATGAGTAGCAGTATAACTATTCTCTTCAATTCGAATTTCATTCTGAGTATAATGAAAAATTTCATTTAGTAAAGTTTGCTGAATTAGTAAACTACTAGTTGAAATCATATTTAGGTTTGTCTAACTGATGAAAAACTTGTAATATATCAAAAACAGTAAGTTAATATAATTGTATCTTTTTTAATATTCGTTTTTTCAGACGTTATCCTTTTTTTTTCCAAAACATTCATCATTTTGCAAAATATGTTTCAAACGAATAGTCTAAGATAAACATTTTTGTAAAACAAATTTTTATGACTACATGTTTTAGTTCTTCAATAAGAGTAGCATTGAAAGATATTCTTATTGGAGAACTAAAACATGTAATCATAAAAATTCCATCAAAACTTGTTTTTCAAAAATGTTTATCTTGGACTGCTTCTTTAAAACATATTTTGGAAAATAATGAATATTATTTACATTAATAAAAAATATATCGTTTTGTAGAGAATTAAAAGATGAATATTTAAAAACAAAAATAATAGTATCTGTAAAAACGGATATTAAAAAACGACATCATTAAAACACGGAGAGGTCCATTTTTTCTGAGATACTCGATAGAAGTTGTCAATACAGGTGAGATGTCAAGCAAACAATGATAGAAGGATGAAAGAATGAGATCTACTTAAAATGAATTATTAGTTTTCAAATATCATATGTTTATCTAGTTTTCTTATCAATTGGATGTAGATTGAATCAACATTTGGTATTGATTTAGTAAATAGACTCTCGACTTACTTATCAAGTATCGGAAATCGAAATAATCAAGTAGATGTACACTTATACCTGTTGACTATCATTATTTTACATAAAGTGAAAAATCATACAATATCGCTTTCATAAGTGTCTGAAAAGGTATGCTTCGCCAATTTGGTTTAATATATTCAATAAAACAAACAAGTTCAATGGCATGTCATATTAAAATAATTTAATGTTCATATTTTTTTCAGTTAATCAACAAAATGTTTGTTATCATCCATGTTAATCAAGGTTTATCTTTTTATATTCTGTCACGATAGGGAGCATTGTAAATCATTAGAAGAATTTAATAAGATTGTATTTATTTAGATTGAGATCGTTCAAACTTTTGGATAAAAAGTTTAATGTCAAAGGTATTCTGTCGTTAATTAGTGTCTCAACTAAAGGAAGCGTTTATCACATCGCTTGATACATGAATGTTCAATTAACTAAAAAAGCAAATGAGACTATGAAAAACATGAATTTGTGAAAATCTTATTCATACAGTTCTCATCCAACTAGAGGTGTAAGCTGAAGGGTCAAACGGCGGCGGCTTTGACAACCAAAAAAAAAAAAACAAAAATGTTTTTGCTTCTAGAGGACGAAAAAATGACCGATCGCATACGTATCGATGTTAAGGGCGGCGGTGCAACGGCTGAACTAACTTTTTCACAGCGGCGGCGGCGCAGTTGGATGGCTTACACTTCTACATCCAACACAACAAATCATTTTTATTTCATCGAATCTATTAATGATAATGTTGAATAATATTTTCTTTTCCTTTCGATACAAACTAATGTTCTTCATCTGCGGTTTCTTTTCTGAAGAATATGGGTAAATAGGTAAGAACATCTTTGTTCATAACTATATATATATATATACCCTCTTATATATGTTTGAAACTGTTTTTCTTCTTCTATTTATTTTAATCGCTTTTTGACATGTTTGATTTAAATAATCATTCATAATAAAGCAAAACATATCTGTGTATGAGCATGTGTGGCATCTCTTTTAAAATTGTGTCTCTCGTTTCAGTGATCGATCAACAACAGAAAGGAAAACATTATTCGGCAAACACATTTTCGTATCGACTAGAAATTGTTCGACATCATCATCATCATCATGAATTTCAATAAGAAAAAGCCTAGTGTGATGAGTATATTCAATAATTGATAAATCTTGATTATCATTTATTGATTTTATACATGATTTATCGATTTGTAGTTTTTGATTAATCACATTTGATCTTTCCATAAATAGAAATGATGAAGCAATCAAAAGGACGTCCATCATATAATTCAACTTCCGTAACATATTTAAAAAAAACCATCTGGGAAATTATTTGCTGGTAAATTTGTTTAATTATGACATATGATTAATAATATTATTCTTCAATTCATTATCATCAATCAATCCTTTATCACGATTAACTATAAGAAAAAAAAATCAAAGTTTTCTAAATTTAACATTTGATGTAGAAGTGGTACAATCAGTTTCTCATAATCATCTGTTTTGATATCACAGTACAAAGAAAACAAAACCATAAACTCGGTAGTTTATCCTAGACATGAAAACAAATATTATTTCATTTGTATAAATAATATTAACGAAAATGATCTACCTTATTATCAACTATTAAATGAGATGAGATAATAATAAAAATATTAAGATAAAGTGTACGAAGTTGATTGAAACGTTCATGGAGTGAATACAGGCAATCGTTGAAACTTCGTATACAGGTATATAATTCTAACAGAGATGAAGAAATAATAGTTAAAGGTGATACATAAAAAGATAATCGCCGAAACGAAATAGAAGATGGGTCGAAATTTAAATACCATAAATTGGTAAGCACAAGTGTATGGACATCTTTTGTTGCAGTTCGCTTGTAGTGTCTGATAATGAAGTCGATAACAAGTGATAAAATTTGATTTTTCAATATATTCATTAAATTCAAGTCCGTATCATCAATGTTATATTTTATCTCAATCATTTATCAATTGAACATAATATAAAATATTCTTTTTCGTTTAAATGAATAAGCTATTCACAAATTTCTTGTAATACATAACCATCGGTAAATATGGATAAAATACATAATTATTATATAATGATCAATTATGTGCAATTATCTTATTCTAACTATACAAATTATATAGTTAAAATAAACCATGTGTGAATAATTAATTATTAAAATAATAAAAAATACGTTATCCGTAAAGATATATAACTCCTAGGTCCGTAATATATAAGTTCAGCTAAAATTTGTGAAAAAAATCGATTAAGCATTGAATCAGACAAGAGTTAATATACGAAGTTCTGTTCAAGAACTAAGCACTTCAACATTGTGCAATTTTTTTCAAAATAATCAGAAGAATCTCATCAGATAAATCATTTCACTTCATCAATAAGTATTTCAGTTATCATGGGCTATCTATTTTTTAGCTTGTTTAAATATACGCATACGTTTTATTCTTGAATCCTATTTAGCTGATATCATCAAGGAAAACAACGTTACTGTTTTCAATAATGTGTAAATACATAATGAACTAATGAATGACATCGTTTCTTCAAATAATTATTCTTGTTGTTAGTGTTCGAGTTACAATTTTTCTGATAAAATATTTTGAAACTAAATTTTTCATTATCATTATTTAAATGATCCTTAACAAAATATTGAACTATGGACTTCTTTGTATCGGCTTTATAATGTACAAAAACAAATACTGATAAATGTTATTTTTTTATTTATCGTAATAGATATTAAATATTTCTCCTTGTAGATTGTATGAACTGTTTGAAATATAATTCCATTTTTTGTAAAAAATCAATAATGATCAATTTATCGGTTTTCTTAAAATTGATTATTCCAATCTAAAATAAAAGCTGAAATGTTAATTATAATAGTAAACATTAATTGAACGGAACTTCTTTTTATACAGCACTAACAAATTTTGAAGAAATGGATAATATTCCATCTATTAACAATATGTTGATAAATTCTCGATATATCTATTGGATATATACTTTATAGAAAACGTATACCAGTTTTCCTGTCTTGGATGTAGAACAAATAAACTAATGTTTTGGTAGAGAGATTGACTGCGAACCCCAAAAGATCCTTCTCAAAACTGTGAACAATGTTGAGCCCTTGCAACTGTTCAAACATTATTACCAAGCAATATCTTTAGATGACTTATTCGAAGGAACACATTTTCAGATAGAACTCATCAAAAGTAGAATCTGTTTTTTTAAATAATAAAAACTAAGAAAGTAAGAAACAAATAACAAAATTCGACAAAATAATGAATAACCGAACAAATAAATTATCTAGAAAAAGAAAATAAACTTCATTAGCTAAATCGTTTTCATATGGTTTTTGTCTTATTTATTTGTCACTGTAATAAAATTGAATTGTACTCTTCACTAGAAAAATCAATATCTATGGATATTCTACATAAAATCTTCATTTACATAAAATAAAATAAAACAAAATCACATTGTCATTTTTATTCCAATCGAGTTTAATAAGTGATATGATGTTCTAAATTTATTTCATGATATAAATATGAAAATTTACTCTCTATATAATATGATGCTACTGCTTACGGAAAATTCATTTTCTTTCAATAATTTTCAAAAAAACCACTAACTAATATTAATTAAAAAGTGTGTGCATGTGGGATTAAATATTCAAAGTTCTGACCAACACCGACACCCTCAAGAAAATAACCCTGTGAAACAGTGATATCATTTATCGCATGTTAATGTAAAAAGAAAAACAAAAATTGTGAAAAAATATAACTTGATCAAACGAAACATAGGTCTACACATTTGTCAACATGGCATCGTCAAGCAAGCAATCATTCACCTGAAAAATCTTAATTCCATTACATTTTTTTCTTATGAAATTCGCTTGTGTTCTGTCGGTCATCGTTTTGTTTAAATACCATTTTTGTAGCAACAACATCGGTAGTAAAGACGTGCATCATTCTCTACTTCACTTATGGCAAGCTTTTTGGAAGCAAGCAAAATGAGTCGTTTTCTGGACGCAAACGAAGAGCCAAGTCAAACACTACTTCCTATTGCAGGGTATGAGAAAGAAGAGTTGGTTTCACTTGAAGAAGCTGTTCGACCGATCACAACCTTACTCTATGATCTAGATACAAAGGTATATATTGCAAAACGAAATTCACAAAAGCCTGCAGACGGTCTTACTTGCAATCAGTCGGCTGCTATTAATCTTTATACGATTGAATGGGAAGAACCTCATGATAGTTTATATACTATTCTTAATCGAACACTTCGTTCTTCAGAAAGAAAGGCACTCAAACCCTGGTTTTCCTATCTAAAACTTTTTCTCACCGCTTTATATAAATTACCGTCTACAAAAGGCGTTATATGGCGCGGTATTCGAGATGATGTATACGATCAATACAACATCGATCAAGTATGGTGGGGTGTGAGTTCATGTACGGCAACAATGCAAGTTATGGAACAATTTGTTGGTCGTTCTGGTGTGCGTACCTTGTTTACTATTGAATGTATTTCAGGCAAAGCCATTGGAGCACATTCGTTTTACAAAAATGAAAACGAAATTGTTCTTATGCCTGGTACATATCTTCGTGTTGTAGCCAAATGGAGCCCCAGTGAAAACTTGTATATGATTCATTTACGTGAGGAAAATCCACCATGTCAATTTATTGCACCTCCATTTATCAAAGAGTCTAGTCAGACTAATGGTAAGAATGCCATGGATGATCAAATAGAGTATATTACTATTAGAACATTCTCTTCTGAGCAGTGCTAACACAAAGCATTGTATGCTTAAATAGAAACTTTGGAAAATTTGACTGTAATTTTCGAAGAAAGTTCTAAAAGAATTAGGCCTTTGATAGTTTTCAATAATTTGTGAAGCCCTTTTTTTGTTTACAAAATTGTCGAGAGTAACTTTTCAATCCATTAAAAATTCATTTCTCAAAACATTTTTTCGATTTCAAGTATACTTAAATACAGCGCATTTATATTTTCGAAACAAATTTAGAAAATTTGAGTTTGCTACTTTCAAGTATATTTCAAATAAGAAATATAGTAAATTTCGCCGATCAAACTAGTGTTGACAATGAACTCATTATTAGTGACCACTCTAGAGTCAAATAATCACAGTCAAAGATGACGTGGAAGAAGGAAACCATTTCTTAATGAAATTTTTAAATATTATTCAAAGAAATTTCTTTGAGGTTTCATTTCAGAAACAAGTTTCAATAAAGACTTGGAACATTCAGAATATCGACCACGTTCAATCAATTTTGCTGGCAGAAAGCTAACTGATACAGATGTTGAGAAGATTGTAAAAGACAAAACCATTAAAAATCATTGTACACAATTGAACCTATCAGGAAATAACTTGACATGGTATGGATGTTGGGCCATTGGTAATTCATTACGCACTAATACAGTAAGACGAACAATCTATTTATCTGACATGTATTGATTCTAATTCCTGACATTAACTAGACTCTAATTCAATTGAATCTGTCAGAGAATCAAATTTTACCTGACGGTGCAAAATATCTTGCCGATGCATTATTCGAAAATATGGTAGGAATGAATACCACTCCTTGATCAATCCAATATTTAAATTTATTCATCTTCTATAGGTACTTACACAACTGAATCTAGGATCAAGTCAAATAAAAGATATTGGAGTACAGCATCTAGCTGATGCATTACAACAAAACACAGTGAAATATTGTCTTATCAATTATCAAATATCATTTTATTATTTTATATAGACAGTAACTCAATTGAATCTCGAACAGAATAGCATCACCGACAAAGGAGCATATTATTTGGCAGATGTATTTAGAGCTAAACGAGTATGAGATATTATCTATTTTTCTTATAAAGAAATTTAATTATTGAACTGGTAGAAGCTTAGTAAACTTCATCTCGGAGCGAATGAAATCACAGAAAGAGGAATGAAATATCTTGCTGATGCATTAAGAAACAATCGAGTAAGATCATTTATTACTCTAAATCACATATTGACATTGATTACCTGATGTAGACACTTACTGAACTAAATTTGAAACAGAATGAAATAGCAGACGAAGGAATGAGATATTTAGCTGACGCCTTAAAAACTAATCGAGTAGAAAAATTATCTGTTATTTCAATTGTATAACATTTGTTTCAACATAGGCACTCATTCAATTAGATCTTACATCAAATAAAATAACTGAAAAAGGAATACAATATTTAACTGATGCATTGCGAAGTAATAAGGTAAGATAGACTATATTGTGGTATAATTCATAGAGATGAATTGTTTCCTGTTCTAACGTAGACTCTTATGCAATTAGATCTTGGTTCGAACAAAATAACAGAGAAAGGAGGATTATACTTATCTGATGCTTTGCGAAATAATAGAGTATGAGAAAATGGTTGATTATCGGTTTCCTATACTAAAGCTTCGTTTCTCGACATAGACACTTATTCGTCTTGATCTTAATAGTAATCAAATAGCTGACAAAGGATTGAAATATATTGCTGATGGATTACGAACTAATACAGTGAGTGATATTGTATCCTCATCATCAACTTTATTTGTTTTTCTTTGATGTTTGACAAAAGACGCTGATACAACTCGATCTTGCATACAATAGAATTACAGATATTGGAGTACAACATCTTACTGAGGCACTGACAACTAAGAGAGTGAGCAAAGTGATGATTTATAAATCTCATCTACTTTTATATCATTAGATACAAAGACTTACTCGCCTAGGTCTTGGAGGAAACGAAATTACAGATAACGGAGTACACTATTTGAGTGAAGCATTATTTATTAATCGGGTTAGAAATGTTCTACTTTCTATCATTATCTTCAGACTTTTTCACATTATTTTACATAGAAACTTGTTCAACTAGATCTTGAATCGAATAGAATATCAGAAAAGGGAGCTCAACGTTTGGTTGACGCTTTAAAAACTAACAAAGTAAGTCGATATCTATCTCAAATTGGCAGCCAGCATTTCTAACAGACACTGACGCAACTAAATCTTGGATCAAATAAAATCGCAAATAAAGGAACACAACATATAGCAACTTTATTACGAATCAATAAGGTATTAACTATAACTCTCGCTCATCTACTATATGCTGGTACGAACTATTTAATCCAGACCATTACTCGATTAGATCTTAGCGGTAATCAAATAACAGAGAACGGCATACAACACTTAGCTGAAGCATTACACAATAATACAGTGAGGAATATTGTTTTTTTCTATGTTTCATGTAGTTAAATGTTCATTATTTGGTCTAGAATCTTACTGAGCTTAATCTTTGGTGCAATCCTCTAATGGATGAAGGAATACACTATTTAGCTAATGTATTGGCAGATAGCAGGGTAAAAAGAAGACGTGTGTTTATTTCGTCAATTTTTCTGCTTTTCTTTCGAATATAGACAATTACTAAACTAGGTCTTGAACGAAGTGAAATCACGGAACAAGGTATAAAACATCTAACTTGTGCATTATATAGTAATACAGTAAGTTTGTTGTGAATTTTGTTTTATATCCTATTCATTATGTATAATAGAGCCTCACTCAACTTAGTCTCTGGGGCAATCAAATAGGAGATAAAGGTGCACAATATTTGGCTGAAAGTTTGTTCATTAACAAGGTACGAGATATTGCCTCTTAATCTAAATGACTACTTAATTATGATTATATGGCATAGACGCTCACTCATTTAGATCTTGGCAAGAATGAACTTACACATGATGGAGCACAGAAACTAGCTGATGCTTTACGAAGTAACAGGGTAGAAGAAATTATCTTTTAAGGTAGTTTGCTACTTATTTATTAATTATTATAGACACTTACTCGCTTGGAACTTGAATGGAATCAAATTAAACGAGAGGGAGCAGAATTTTTGGCCGATGCCTTACAATTTAACCAGGTAATATGTGTATATCAGATCTCATTTATTTCTAATTCAATATTTTTGATTTTTGTAACAGATACTTATTCGTTTGAACGTGTCGAACAATCAAATTACAGAAGAAGGGCAACAGTGGCTTATTAATACATTGCAAAATAATATGGTGAGAAACGTTGTATCTCAATGTGTCCATCTCTAATAGTATTCTTTGAAATAGACACTCGATCTCTTACTATAATTGTGTATGATTCAGCTCTTGAAATAGATTCGTTGATTTCATTGAATTTCAAATTCACACTCTCAAAAATCAAATAATGACTGACTTTCTAGAATAAGACTGTGAGAGAGAGGTCTCTAGATGGAGAAAATTCAACTATTTCATATAGAATAGAGAAAAGTAATCGTTATTAAAATATTAATTCAAATATTGAAAGAGTGCACATTTTACTACCATCGAATTCGCTCTTCTCAATCAACATAAAATGATAATAAAATTGCAATGAATTTGTTCAATCTCGTTTATTTTTGATTGTTTCACAATGAAAGATGATTTTGAGTCCAACAACATCAGTCAGTCAGATGATTTCGACTATCTCGCGAACAGACCAGAACTGTTTTAATTCAATGCGATAATTATTCAATAGAAATGAAAGTATCGTGATTTTAATTGCGAAATTCTACTACGAAATCAATATTAAATCATTTGATTTCCGACGAAAATATGCAAACAATTTTATGGCATCTCAGAGGTAATAAGCCCATGTTTCCTGAATTTATTGTATCTTTTACTGTAGCCGTATTGCCTATCCATTTTTGCATATTCTAAACACATATTGATCTGCTGTTTTTATGGATATAATTGAATTCGGTTTCTGAAATCGTCAATTTGAAGGAAGTTACTAATTTAATAACTATATGGTTATCTGAATAGACAAAATAATAAATAATTACTTATAGACTTTGATTCAAAAAGGATAAAAACTTGGTATCTCAAAGTTTTGAACTTAAATATCACCAGTCACATATGCAATAGTATGGAAAATGCAAACGCTATTATTATGACAAAAAAAAATAGTAGATCTTTCGAGCATCAAACGTACGATTATGAACATGTTTTGTATTCATCAGTTTCAATAAAGCATTCTTGTCATTTAAAAACACCAATTTAATGAACATAGTAAAAAAAATTTATTTTACAAGATATGCTTATGTTAATGTTGTTTTTAGTCCACATATGTATGAAACTTGAATTATTGTCTTTGTTTTTCTCTAGCCACCTAAATAATGCAAATGACAGAGAGTGAATTTGAAGTAAGAACGTGACAGAAATGTGCAATGTCACTTTGATGACTTACTAGAACAACCTGATGCAGGTATTTGGATCATAAATTTTTGTATTCGATGATTTGCCTGATCAGTTACGTAAATATTACCATGTCTATCAAATTTTAAATCTCGTGGGCCGCGTAATTGAGTGGCAGCTACACCTGATGATCCCGTGCAACCAATAACACAGACACCACCAGCCGCATAATTCGTTGTCCAACGCATGATTCTTGCATTGCCATAATCAGCCACATAGATATACCTATCAATGAAACATGTTACTTTTAAAAGTTAGATCACATTTTTTGAGTATGTTTTAATGCATCGTAAATCATGAGCAAATTTTAAAAAAGCAAAGAAACTTCAATCTCTAGTTCACATATATCAAAAAGATTTTTAACTTAACTGACCCATTATTATCAACGATTACTGATATAGAACGAGACAGTTGATATGCATTTGAGCCTGCTGTTCCATTACCCGCTACTATGGTTCCATTCAATGATCCAGGAAAATATTTCATTACGCGAAAATTCTGATCATCAGCTACATACAATGTTCCATTTGGATCTATAAAATTTCCAAATGGACCCGACAGCTGATCGGTTCCTGGACCAGGCGGACCACCACCTGCTACGACGACACCAATCGATGAAAAAGGAATAAATTTCACAACTTGATTGTTGTCTGAATCAGTAACGTATATGTTATTATTGACGTCAATATGTAAATCCCGCATTTGACCGAGAGGATTTATTGATGAATTGAAAGCTAATGTAATACCCGATGTGGAACCATTGATAAATTTTTGAATTCGATAATTATCACTGTCAGCAACAATTATATCACCATATTGATCAATAGCAACACCTTTAGGTCCTCTCAATTGGTTAGATTCATTACCAGCCGTTCCATTGCCTGCGACAATAATTCCAGTAGTGGAATTAGGAGTAAATTTGAGTATCCGATAATTGTCTCGATCACAAACGAACAGATTATCATTATTATCAATAAAAATACTCACTGGACTACTAAGAGATAGTAAATCAGATCCTACACTTCCATTACTATTACCCCCCATTGTTATTCCAGTTTCATTCCATGTGGCACACGTCGGAATTGTCAATGCATAGATGCCAACGGGAGCGACTGGAAATGAAATAATAATTCTTTACTTTAGGTGTTTGATAAAATAAAAAAAAAATTACACACAAGTGATTGTTGTCTGGGTAGTTGTTGATGTTGTTGAAGTACTACTAGTAGAAGTAGTGGTTGTCTGACTAGTTGTAGTTCTGCTGGTGGTTGACGTAGTAGTAGTTGATGTTGTTGAAGTGGTGGTAGTTGATGTTGTCGAAGTAGTAGTAGTTGATGTTGTTGTTGTGGTAGTAGTTGATGTTGTCGAAGTGGTAGTAGTTGATGTTGACGAAGTGGTAGTAGTTGATGTTGTGGTTTTGGTAGTAGTTGATGTTGTTGTTGTGGTAGTAGTTGATGTTGTCGAAGTGGTAGTAGTTGATGTTGTGGTTTTGGTAGTGGTTGTTGTCGTTGTAGTTGTAGAAGTAGTTGCCGTTGTTGTCGTCGCAGTTGTAATTGTTGTTGTTGTTGCTGTTATTAAAGTTGCTAAAAATGGAAAATAGAATCGATCAAATTTCAAGTTGAAGACCCTAATAGTCTCACTCAAATCTATTAGATACAGTAAAAATCTGACACATTAGATCTTTCTCCCCATAGGTACTCAAATAAATCACTTGGATATATTCAATAGTACTGCTCATAACATGTTATTTATTTTCTGCCTGTAGACTTTTCTGTATGAACTTCTCACTTCTACACACAAATAAATATATGAGGATGGAATGGATGGCTTAGAGTCTTCTCATTAGCCATCTATCCACCCTCAAGGGTTTCTTCAGTTGAAGCTAAACAGAAATTGATTTGTTTGTTAGAGAGAAACAAGCTCATGTTATGTAAATGAGTTCTACATTTGGTGACCGCTCACTTCGGTACATAACATTTCGTCCCGTTCAATTCGCCCCACACGATTCGTCCCAATTACATTTCGTCCCATTACATTTCGTTCCCTTACATTTCGTCCCAATTACATTTTGTCCTAATTACATTTCGTCCCCTTACAATTCGTCCCAAGTTCATTCTGTCCCCTTACATTTCGTTCCAATTACAATTCGTCTCATATCTTTGCTAAGATCAACTTTTAGTTATTTTAATTAAATATCGTGTAAATACTTATCGTCGCGTCTATTAATCATCGCGATAATAAACGACCAATGAACAATGAATATATTCCTTTTTTTCTATTCTACATATTTATCGAGATTAATTTTCTGTTTGTCATTCAACCACGTGCGCTCGTAGTTATTGGTATTTTGTACAAATTTGTACAAATAGTATAAACAAAAATATGAATACTATTGAGGTATGAAAGAGTTCTCGGGAAAATTCAATGATATATTTTTCAGAATATTTGTACACTCAACATCGAATAACAGAAGAAAAACGTATATTTCGTTGCGAAGATCCAAATTGTAGAAGTAAGTGTAAATCGTTAAATCTAATCTTTTAACTTTGCTTTATATTTTTTTGATCGTTGTCAAACGAATATTCAGATGGAAGTATTACTCAAAGAACCATCTGAACATTCTCATGTACCTGATCCAGATCGGCTGCACCTCATTCGACTTAAAAATGAAATTAAAAGTCGTGGTGCATCATCAGATGAAGGAGCTAGTACGATACTATTTGATGTATTACGGACAATTCCATTAACTATAACTACTGATTTACCTACAAATGACGCATTGTTGTAAACGATTCGATTTAACGACCAGCAATGCAACTTGATCATAATGGTCGTTTACCTTTAATATTACGACAAACTGATCGAGGAGAAAGTTTTATTCTATATGAAGATGATTCTATGGTAATATTCACATGTGATAAGGACTTATCAGTTTTAAAGCAGTTAAATTTATTAAAATAAACTTTATCTCATATTGCTATACTGAGAATGAATAGTTACAATATGGGACGAAATGTAAGGGGACAAAATAAAATTGTGACGAATTGTAAGGGGGCAAATTGAAAAGGGACGAAATGTAATTGGGACAAAATGTAATAGGGACGAAATGTAAGGGGACGAAATGTAATGGGACGAAATGTAATTGGGACGAATTGAATGGGGCGAAAAGTAACGGGATGAAAAGTAGGGGACGAAGTGTAGGGGTACCCTACATTTGTGATTAGTAAGTTAAGTCAGCCAAAAGAGCTATTATGAAGGATCTAATATTGGTCATTGTGTGTAGATAGTGTCACATTTCTTTTTGTTGTTACAGCAATGTGAGACGGGTAGAATAATGTTTTTAATATATTCTTTTCATATTTTTTTTATGAAATCGAAATACTAAGCGTTAAAATCTTAAATTGATTGTCTAAAATTAGTTCACAAAAAAAAACAGCATCGTAGAACTATCCGTGATCAATTAGTCTGATGTCACTGATTCTAAAATGATTACTTATAATATGACCGAGACTGAAATTTAAAAAAAATTGTGATAATTGATTTTGAGTAACAGTGAGCAAAGTTTTCATACGTGCATCCAACAAAATTTTGAACCATCTTCAAACGCTGGTTCGTTAGCGTGAGTGCTAAAATTGAGTGAGTCAACAAAAATTCATTATCCTTTCTATCAGCGAGTATTGTAAGTGAATAATCCCCTCCATTCTATAGTAATTCATTGTCCATAAGTGGTGCTTTCGAGTTTTTCAAATATACCATAAGTGTCTCCAAAGTAATGGCTAGCATGTGGACATCGACTTTGCAGTAATCTATCGCACCTATTAATAATCAAAGTCAAACTAACAGAAAGTTGCTATCAGGCTTGAGACATTAAAGGGATGATATCTCAATTCGAATAAAATTATTTTCCTTGAAGACTTTCATACTGTTAGCTGTAACTATGACACTGTTTTTAAGACAAGCTTGATCTTGTATTCTAGTTGATTGTATAGATAACAATTTGTTAGATATTGAAATAAACTTAATTGATAATCTTTCTTGAAGATTATGTACAAGGATATTGTTTAGGTGCCAATGCAACTCAATGAGAACTATTAGCATTCTAAAAGTCGTTGGTTTTAGAGAACATTTTGAAGATTGATGTTATCTTTTCTTCCTTAGCATACATTCTAACTACTTTGTTTCCTTTTACATTGATGCATCATAATGTAACTTTACATAAAATCAATAAATCTAGGCTCCATTATTCTTTCTCAAGACGTATTTTCATCGTCCTAAACTCACTTGTCGGTGCCGTTCCAGAAAATACCATAAAAATAAGAACCACAGCTATAGTGACTCCTGCGACAATTGTTCCAATAGCTATGAGGACGATCAATACTATTTTCACAATCGAGCTTGTCTGTTGTCTAAAAATAGAGAAAAATAAGCATTCCAATGATCTTTTAATGAGTTAATATCTAATGTGAAAATAACTAACACAGAATTGAGTGTATGGCCAGAATTAGAAGCGACTTCAGGAACATCATTTAGCTTGAGGTCAATCTGTTTAACTGTTATTTGAGACTCTGTGTTATTCTAAATAAAAAACACACTTATTGGATCATGTAATATAATAAATTCAACAGAATAAAATCACAGTAGTATTTTTCATTTATTTTATCGCTCATTGTCCTTCGTCAAATACGTATGAAGGCCCTTGTTATTATATCTGTCAATATTTTGCATCATTTGAGAAATACTTTTGAATCATCAAAAATTATCTCTTCTTATGAAACTCATAGCATTACAATAACACACCAATCCAACTACATCTGTTCTAGTATTGTTGAGAACTAAGATCAACACATAAATAGCCTTTTGAAACTATTACAGATTGCGAAAAATACACTGAAAACTCCTGCAAATGTCATATTGAAGATATAAGTCAGTAATGTAGAAATCGAACATTTGTTGCAAGTTAAAAATGTCAAGGTCTAAAACATTAGCATAAGGTAATCTTAGGTATGAAATCTGAATCCGATGCCACATTTTGACTTTGTTATGATTTATTATGAATTATCTCTCATTTTGATATGTCGTGGCAGTCATAAGCTGTGCGCTTCCTAATACATGCTATGCCAAGTTTTATTAAAAATATTAGAAATTATCAATAATTCATGACAAGAATATTGGAAAAATTAAAACTTGATCTTGGATTCGGATTTTCCGCGCACGACTACTCTTTGATCAAGTTTTACAATGTGAAATTTAAAACAAACCTTCCAATATTACAAGTATTGCACTACTCAGGAAAGAAAAATATATCCTAGTCTTATAGTTTTTCGAATTATTTTTTTTAAGGCGGTCTTTTATCATGAGTTAGAGATCATCTAAATTGTGCACACAATTGGCAGTCAAAACCTTCTATTGGCCACATGGCTTTATTGGTCTTATTTTCTTCATTTAAATTTATACAATTCAGAAAAAAATATAAAGTTATTGGCTTTTTACGTTGATTATGTTTTATGTCTTCTTTGAGTGTTTCAATAGCTGTTTTCTAGTGTTTGATGCTGCATGACAACGATTGCAACTGAAAGAACTATACTCACTCACTAAGAAAGCATCCATTTAGGGACAAAAAAAAACGATTCTAATATCAAGTTTTGCATCTTCAGTCATCATACCGTGCTTTGGTCTATAGGATAATAACGACGAGGTAAATGAGGAGCAACCGCTTGTGTGCTAGTAGGCATCGTTTATTGATATGTTTGTTGGTGAATCGTCGTCGAAAAATGTCGAACTTTGCTTACTTTACAACTTGAAGTTGTAACAATAAAACATCGATCAGGAATGTATGTTGTCTGTAGACACTTATTGAATGCTTCAATTAATGGAAATAGCGGTATGTTTCATTTTTGCGCTTTTTGCTTTTATAATAATGCACATTTAGTAATGGGCTGAAGTGCATTTCAACATGTGCACAAAACATTGTTTTGTTTAATATTTGTTTGACCAATAATTCCATTTGTTACTGCATGTATTCTCGTAATCACGATGGCTACCCAGTGAAAACTATTTGTAAAAAATAACGGTTGAGAATGCGTTCCAAAAAATGAAAAGCCCTTTTTTTAAGAAAAGAAAACGTTCCGAAAAAAAATGGAAAGCATTTCAAAATGGAACGGTCTAAAACGCATTCTATCACTTTTGGAACGTGTTCTTAGTCGTTCCAAAAACGGAACGATCAACAAAGCATTCAATCACTTTTGGAACGCTTTCCACCACTTTTGGAATACTTTCTCTTCTTGAGAGGAGGCAACTTTCTTAATCATACGACTAATCATTAATGGATAAATCTTTAATTCGTCAAAAGACCATTTTCGGGGTAACTCGACGAGCTCGATCGAATGACGTGCTCCAAATCGTTGTAACTGAAACCGTTATTAAAATCATGCTTTTTCTAAATCAGAAGTAGCATCCCCAAAGAATAACTAGCTGAAGGTTCCACCATTACTCACATCAGTTTCAACCTGCTTTGTTTCAGTTCTTTGATTTTTGAATCGAAATGTGCTTTAATTCCAAAAGAAAGTATTCATCACTTAGAAGAATTCATTCTTTCAATGCTTCTCTAGAAAACGTAAAAGAAAGCGATCTTATTTTGATGGATTGCTATCTGTGCCGTTCCGAAAGAGAATGAACTAGGATGGCTTCTATTGGTTTAAGAATGGTTCGGAATGCTTTCCCTTCAAATAGAGAACAATTTCTCAATAGAAAAGAAAGCATTCCGTCTTATTGTGGAACGGCAAAGAACGAGTTCCTTCAGACTGAGAGTGTTTCTTCTGGAACATGAACGCATTCACTAGCAAAAGGAACGCATTCTTTGCATAGAAAAAAGGTTTCCATATTTTTATGAAACCATTCTGTTCCGTTTTTTTTCAAAATATTTTTCACTGGGTACTATTGTGAGATGCATAAAAATGCATAGGAGTATACGGGTATATAATTGCTAGCATATTCCAGACCTAAATAGCAACATATTTTTCTATCATCACTGTCAATTAACAGATATTAGCTCACAAATGCGCATTTCTGACAGAAAAACAATGTTTTTTTTTTTGTTTCATAATAATGAATCAACACTAACGAACAGTTCTATCTTGTCATTCGCATACCACAGATCAACTTAGTTATTAGATTAAATAAATAAAAGAGTCAAGAAGACAGAGATGCGAAACAAAACTAATGAATAGACGCATGCATTAGAGAATTAGAAAATAAAAGTAAGATGAAAGAAGAAACGGAAGACAGACAGCGATATATTTATGGCATTATGATAACCTTCTCTTGATCCATACAAAAGTCATTATGGTGGATGAACAATGCTTCGTAGACGGCGCAATGGCAACGAACTCGATTATTTTACGTATTGATTCGCACCTATAATGGATCAGTGCTTCGATCTGTACATGATGGGTATAATGTGTTGTCGTTATATCATATTAGCAATATTTTTTTCTTCATTCTTCGGAACTTCAATCGTATATGGTTTCTAATAGGTCTTGTTAAGAAGCCGGCCAACACGAAAAACAAACTATAAGATAAGTCTGTTCGAAGATATAAAGGATGGTTGGCTGGATGAAAAGAATAACCGCTTCTATTCAGCTCATACTTTCACGTCCACTCTCAAACCTCAGCGAAAAAAAAATATCATTTTCAGATAAAATGAAACTAGTAGAGTATTTATGATTAAAGTATTTATTTCGCAACACATAGCACAGAACATGCACAGTCAATTGTAACTTATATAACGTTACATTTTTATTAAAAAAGAGGATATTTTTTTTTTATTATTTTGTGCAAAGACAGTTAGGCAGATGTGTAATGTATAAAATAATTGTGACAAAGCGGATCACTAACTACAGTTAATGTGAGTTATTTAATATGAAAAACTATCTTGGTACGGTGAATATAGTACCTACGTCATTAACTACAAGAGCAGTTCCACTGAGAATATATAAGAATGATCTAGTTGAGTATTAAAATAAACAGATTTGTTTAATCATGTATCAATTGACTGCTTAACAAATTCTATTGAGTGATCACTATTGATTGAATTGATATACAGTATATTTCGTAAACCTGCAAATTTAAAAAAGTACTTGTTGATAAATAGTAAATGGGCAAATTTATAGCACTAACAAGATTGTAATATGTGACAATACCATTCGAACTGAATGCACCACCACCAATACCGGAAACAGTTTTAAAATTGGAACCAAGTTTTAATTACGATAGAATTAAACTGCAAGCATCACTACATGTATTATCTGTTAAAGCATAAATCGATCGAAAATATTTTCTCTTAGTTGCATTTTTAATCAAAAAGTTTTCTCTACCAAATGCTTATCCATTTCATATTTGTAAATGAAAGATCAGTTCGCAAATCTAATATTGAATTTGGATATGAACTACATGTGTTGGAAAAGGACTTTATTGGTTCATTCATTCTATCGTCCATCAGTTCATACAAGACACTACGATTAGAATATTTAAAGATTAAATAATTTAGTAAACTAAGTTAGACAACTATAACCACCATGATTTCCAATTAAATCAATAATTAATGTTTTTTCCAGTAGCTATTAAAAATATGTTTTTTTAACATCTTCAAACTTTTCTTCAGCAAACGAAGCAAGCCTGATAACCGCACCTTTTGTTCGTTTATCAGTATAATAATACGCATTGTTATCTCACATAATAAAATCAAAGCTATTATTTTTTTCTCTTGATATCAAGTAAATTTTTTTAAACTAGTCACATATTGAAAACAGGTCTTTTATCAAATGATTATGGTCCTGCAAAGTGATTATCAAACTTTTTTGTAAGTGTCACTCGATAAGGAGATGTCAGTATTGATTCAACATTATCAAAAATGGTAAATATTATATTGTTAGTCGTTGATAAAGAATAATCTGCAAAATTTCACAAACAAAGTTCTTCTCTCAAAAACAGAATCCATTTGGAATTTTATCTTTGCTCATAAGTCGATACTATCATCTGTTTTTTTTAATAGTAAAAGTTCCAGAATAAACTGTAGTAATATTTCCGTCATGGCACTCATATAATCAACAAGAGAAGCATGATTCGATCTTTTTATCAGTTTGAAAAGTAAACAATATCACTATTTATGGATTTATTGACGTATATAGTAGTGTGATAAGAGCTGCTAATTCATATAAACTGCATTATTATAATAGTCTTATTCATGAAATAGTCGACGGTGAAAAAAAAATAATAACTTCAAATTACAAAAAACAAAAAAATGACTTATCGAGTATAGAGCAACAATTATAAATGAAGTCGGGACGTCTCAAACAAAAAAGACATTTTCAGTTTTAAATGTAAAAATAAATAATAAATTGTTGTTCTTATCATCGATTATCAGCGAAAACAACGATAGTTGACAAAAAATTTTTCAGTTTACAAATAATATATTAGGATAACAAGGTTGAAGGATATACGTCAGTTCCACATTGCAGCTCCAAAAGAGCTGCGCTAACAAGCTTTTTTCTTTATTTTACTTTAAAAAAAATACAGTAAAGGAAAGAAAAGTTAAGTTACTTTAGTTTGTCAGGTAAGGCAACGAAAAAATGTTCACACTCAATTGTGTTCAAGCTGTACCTATATGAAACTGATAGAATTGGTGCATTTAATAGAGTGCATGAAAAAGAATAAACTTCCTAAATTCATCTTATGTTCTACATTCAGAATTTCATACTACATAAAATTATTATATTCATATTTATCATACTTGAATATTTATTGCTTACATAGGCTCAGAGTTATTCATAGTAGACGTCGAGTAATAGCTTATGCGCAATCTACTTCCACATTCGGTTTTGTTCGACTATCATCTGTTTCTTCCGAACACGGAACTATTGATAACAAAATTTTTCAACGTGTTCTATATGTTTTTGAAAAAAGTTTCTGAACATATATTTCGACTCTTCACTTTATTTGTCAACTTGAAATTTCAAACACAATCTCAGTAAAATAAATTTAATTTTAGTCAAAAAACAAATGTTATCGATGTGGGATGTAGGTGTGTTTGCTGCTATTTTATTCCTCTACCCACCTACACGCACACCACAGCCACACTCACATTTGCAGCCAGACATGCACACTTACCCTGGTGTGCCACGAACGCAATAAATACTAACGGTTGTTTCTCGGAAGTAGAATTTTCTAACGACTGACTCACTCATATAGAAGGATGTGAGTGTGGGTGGGTGTGGGTGGGTGTGAGATGTGGGTGTGGTGTGAGTGTGGGGTGGGGTATGGGTCTGGGTGGGTGTGGATGTGGATGTGGATAATAACGAGGCACACCCACACCCTTATTACTTGTCTTTTTGTGTTTTTTTCTCTCGTCTAATTGTAACAAAGTGCTCACACTATATTTGTAACTGATCTTTTTCATGTAACTTCATTTATTTTGACTGACGAAGTCAACAGTAGCTGACGAAACGTCTCATAATAAAATATGATCTATTCGGTACTCTTTTCTTTGTTATTTGTTTCCTATAGTCTTTTTGAGAAGTATCATTATTTTATATTTAGAAGCAAAAGCTGTGGTGTAGGTGCCATTCATGAGAAGACCTGCATACCACATCGACACGTTTTTTCCTACTTTCCCTCTTTGTTATACACTTTTTTGCGTATGATTTTTTGCAGACATGTTTGTGTTCGTTCTCTTTCGATTGCTCTTGCACAATAGGAAAAACAAATTATACTGCTTTTTGGTCGACAAATATTTAAAGTGTAATGCAAACAAATGATACTTCTGTTTTTGTAATAATGTAAAAGTTGTTTGATCTTCATTTTGAAAGAGTCATTCTTTTTCCATATCGATTTACTTAATGACTTATCTTCAAATTAAAAGTGGATAAAACCTTAAAGAGAATAGCAGTAAATTAAAAGAATAATAAAAGAATTGGAAAACTTCTGGTTACAATAACGTACAATGGATAGAAAAGCAATAGGTATCGATTTGGGTATGGTATATTCAAGTGTTGCTGTATTTCAACATGGTAAAATAGAAGTCATTCCTAATAAACAATCTAATCGAAAAACACCATCATACTTTGCATTTACCAATAATGAACGTTTAATCGGTGATGCAGCTAAAAATCAAGCAGCATTGAACCCAACTAATACAATATTTGATGCTCAACGACTTCTTGGTCATAAATTTGATGATCCAACTGTACAAGTTGACATGAGAAGTTGACCATTTAAAGTAATTAATGATAATGGGAAATCGAAGTTTCAAGTTGAATATAAACGTAAAATAAAATGCTTCACACCTGAAGAAATAATCTCAATGATATTAACGAGAATGAAAGATATAGCAGAAGCTTATCTTGGTGAACAAATTTCTGAAGCTGTGATTACTGTTCCAGCTTATTTTAATTATTGACAACGTCAAGCAATAAAAGATGCTTGTGTTTTTGTTGGTCTGAATGGATTATATATAATAAGTGGATCAACAGCTGCTGGGCTTGGTTATGGCTTTGATAAAAAATTTCCGATTGCAAGAAACATATTTGTTTTTGATTTGGGTGGTGGTCATTTTAATGTATCAATTTTAGCAATTGAAGAAGGTGTCTTCGAAGTTAAATCAACCGCCGGTAAATAATGTAAAACAGAACTTTGAAAAATTATTTTAAAACCATATTTTAGGTGATATATATTTGAGTGGAGAAGATTTTGATAAAAGAATGGTTGCACATTTTGTTCAAGAATTTATAAGTAAATACGGTAAAGATTTATCACAAAATAAGCGTGATCTTCGTCGGTTGCGTACTGCTTGTGAGTCTGCTAAAGTGACTTAAATTTTTATTTTATATATCTAATAAAAACTTTATTAATTTTTTTTTTCATTTAGCGTACTTTATCGTCGTCATTCCAAGCATTAATTGAAATTGATGCATTACATGAAGATATTAATTTTTATTGAATCATAACCCGTACTCGTTTTGAAGAACTTAATGATAGTTTATTTTATTCAACACTTGAAACAGTTGAACGGGCTTTAAGGGATGCTAGAATGGATAAAACTAGCATCCATGAAATTCTTTTTATCGGTGGTTCAACACGTATTCCACAAATACAAAAACTTTTACAAGATTTCTTCAATGGAAAAGAATTAATGAAAGTAATCAGTTCAGATGAAGCAGCCGTTTATGGTGCTGCTGTTCAAGCCGCTATTCAGGCCGGTGATAAATCAGAAGAAATTAAAGATTTATTATTACTAGATGTTACACCAATTTCATTGGTAAGGAAAATAAAAGAGTTCTTCTATAACGTCCTTCGCTTTTTTTGACGGTATTGAAACAGCTGGAGATACTGTGACGGTAGTAATAAAACGTAATACAACAATTCCTACAAAACAAACAAAAATATTTACAACGATTTCAAATGATCAATCTGGTTTTGATATTAGAGTTTTTGAAGGACAAAGATTAATGACGAAAAATAATATTTTACTAGAGAGTTTTAAACTCGCTGATATTTCACTAGTACCTCATGACGAAATAGAGATTGAAGTTACATTTGACCTTAATGCAACTAGTATTTTGAATGTTTCAGCTATGGAGAAAAAAATCTGGAAAAGAAAAGACAATTACCATAACAAATGATAAAGTACGTTTATTTTAAGAGAAAATTGAATGTTTGATTGCTAACGCTGAACAGTATAAAAAAGAAGAGAAAATACAATGCGATCGTATTGAAGCTAAGAATTTACTTGAATCATATTGTTTTAATATGATGGAAAAAATTAATGATACAAAATCGGATGATAAAATTAATATTAATGTCAAGAAAACGATCGATGCTATTGAAAATATATTGGTATGGTTGGAACAAAATCAAGTGAGAAAATATTATTTTTATGTTTTATTTTATTTTATCAACATTTTAGTATGCTACAAAAGAAGAATTTGAATGTAAATTAAGAGAACTTGAAACAATATGTTCACTAGCAATGATGAAAATTTACCATACTGAAGACAGGACTGAAAAAATTTCAAAGGCATTATCCGACGATATAACAGGTGAGTAATCGATTTTCAAGTTCACCCTAATCATAGCCAATTTCATCATAAAAACAAATAAAGAAATTGTCGTAGACGCCTTTTTTCTACAGTACTTTTTACTTTTTTATTGGAAATACTATTTTCATCCATATCTACCATGAACTAATTAGAATTCGTTGTTTTTTTGGATCCAGCTTTTCGATGAAGTGCAAGAAAAGCATTATGTTTCTCTGGTTTTCTATTAAAAGATGCTTGTGTTAAGAGAATCAAAAATGAGTGAAGCCTTTCGCATCCAGCCACAATATTTTTTACAAATACGATACCATTTAGCATAGCAAGGATTGCTTGTTTTTTTCTAATCAACTTCAGAGGAGTAGAAAACAGTGATATGCAATAGCAAGGGCCGAAAATCAAAGTAGTCCTGAGCACTAGAATTTCTAGTCTACGTCAAACTGTTTCGTAACAATATGTTTTCATGACACTGTTTTTTTAGAGAAATCTTTACTAAGTATTAAGAGAGTTTAGAAAAACAGCTTTTTTTTCAAATGATGATTGATAAATGCAAAGTACACAAAACAATTTTATGAACTTCTTTTCCAGAAAATAAGAGTTTTCCTACTGTTACACTCTCATCAACTAGTGATGATGAACTATCCAATCTAAGTTCACGCGTATTTGATATTCGAAATGAACATCAGCGTATGCTTTTACCGTAAAGTTCACTCCATTATCTATTAATATTGCTATTTGCTACAATTTATCTTTAGAATCGAAGGTTACGAAAAGAAACTTCTCTTGCCATTGGAACTTGCGATTGAACACTTAGAAGATATCATTCCCAATATTAAGCGAAATGCATCGATTGCAAAAGCAAGATCTACTGATGTGTACGATAGAGAATAGTCTTTACACGAGACGCATTTCTGCTCTGCTGAGTGTCATTAAGTGATTCGACGATAAGAATGTCTTCCAAGAGTATGTGTGTGTGTGCGGGTGGATGTGTGTAGCTGTGGCGGTGACTGTGAGTGTGGCTGTTTGGGTATTGGTACGGATTTTGAAAAGACTCACATCCACATCCGCATCTATTTTTTTTTGTATTTATGGTCATTGATCAAGAATCATCCAATATATTCACAAAATATAATTAAGATTATGTTCAATAGATCATTAAAATTGAATGTGTGTTTCCAAATGAGTTTTCTAAGGCTTTGATTTTTTGCTTGACTCGAATATTCAAAGCAGAAAAAACTGTAAAAAAAAGGAGCATATGATTTCCAATGTTTATGATATCTTTTAAGATATATTAATCGATTGATTGATTGATAACGATTGAGGCTGATTTCCTGAATTCTAGAGCAAGATTTATTGATATCGAAAAACTCTCTGTTCGATGTTCAAGTATAGAAAGATCGTTGTATTGATTGCCAACATTTAGTTTTATGATAATGCTACATATAGAACGAAAAACGAATTATCTTAATTCAATAAAAATTAACATTTAACAAAAAGAATTCAAGAAAATATTAAGTCTTCCTTATAGACAAAAAACTCAAACAGTAACAATAATCTTTTAGTGGGAAAGAGTAACGATTTCCAGAAGAAGGACATTATCTATGTAGAATTTAATTTGTTTAAGTAAGATTTACATAGAGACTAGTTTCAACTTATCTCAGACCTAGAAAAACAGATCACTCTATTGAGTAACGTATTTTAAAATATGAGCTCCTAAATGTGCCGCCTGCAACATTTACAAGTTTAAATGTAAAATGTTTTTTTTGCATTGACGACATTCAACAACAAATTTTACTTAATTTTAACTGAAAATCGTATTGTTAAAACAAAAGAAGTGGAAAAATGCAACGTCGACATTACTTGTAATCTTATTCTTTCCAACTTTCGTTTATTTTTCGTCTGCATGTTGACTTAAGAACAATTGCGTTCGATGCCATGCTTCATACACTGTTTGTTTTTCTTCGATCCTTTCAGAGCGATATTCGGAGTGCGGAGGTGGGGGTCTGGGTGGTCGGTGTGGGTGGATGTGTGTTGGTGTGAGTAAAGAAAGGAGTGACATCCACACCAACACCCGTTTCCTCTGACTTTCTTTGTTTCTTGTTTCATGTTTTCGCACTTCATAACGATTCGTTACCTTTCCAATATCTTGAATGAAATTTTGGTGACTGCTTTCTATTTAATCGTTACTGTTCATTTCGAAGAAACCGATCACAACTTGAAAAAGAAGCTTTCTTTGATAAGACAATCAATAGACAAGCAATATTATTTACACTAAGCTTAATCATAAGCACAATTTAGTTTCAAATATAAGAAAAAACGGACTTCATATAAAAATAACGGAATACATGACAATGATAAATACGAAAATCAGTTTTTTGTAATGAAGTCTAATTTTGCTCAAATATTAATCATTCTATCAGCTCACTTTTTAAATATTCGTGGAGGTCGACAGCACATCACTTTCTTCGCACCACTGAAAATCGTGCAAGATGCTGACAGACGACATTTTAAACCAGACTTACAATCATCGACGATTGGTATACAAGCCTCATTTTCTTTACGACTGAAAAATCCTGCCCAACTAAAAAAAAATTAACAAGAAAAAAAAAACATATTTTTTTTAGATAAATTCAATGTAATAATTTACTTGGAGTTAGCAAAACTGACGATGAGAATGAGAATAAACCAAAGTCGCATTTTAGTATGTCTTAGTTCGATACACTTCTCAACTGAATAAGAGTGTATATATATATATATATTTGCAGAAGTAAGAGATTCCTCTCGACTCTTTAGTCCTACATTATTTGCTTTCTTCTGATAAATAATATGAAGTATATACATAAGTGTATGAATGAATAAGTCTGAAATTGTATATTTGAATAGGTACCTTTTGCAAATAATATTCATCAATCCAGATTATTGTTTGTTAGAGTCCTATGGTACTTATAAGAATTATTCATCTTGCTGACAGTAAACGAAAGAAATAGAAAGAAATCCATAAGTACAATGAATGAATTATTCTTTATATGCTAATGTTTGAATAATGCATTATTTATATAAGAAATAAGCAACTTTTGAGGGAGTTTTGATGGTGTTGGTATGGGTGTAAGTATGAGTGGCAGTCATGTCATTTTTTCAAACTCCACATCCACATCCATCCTTTTGCACTATATTATCGTTTAATTCTGTTTGTCAGCTCGAATTCTCTCATAACATATTCCTGTTTATTTCTTCGATACAGTCATCATTGTTGCGAAATATTTTCATATTTTTGTATGAAATTATCCGTAATATTGTTTTCATATGATATCAAAGATAAAATCAGCTGTAAATCGAAAAACCTTTTTCTTAAATGTTTAGCTGTTGCGACAGACAAGTGAAACATGTGTTTCTTTGTCTGTAGTAATTAATCCCCAGAAGAACTATTCAATTGTATCAAAACACTCATGGTCAAATCACAAATATAACGAATGGACGTATAGTCTTGTTGAAAATAACTTCTACAAAGAATGTATTAAACTAAATGACTCAATTATCTATTAGCAATCAAAGACTAGGTGTGGGTATGGGTGCTAGAAGTGACAAAATCCACGCTCACTCTATGTGCTTTGTTGCATTAGAATTGTAATGCAAATGATTTGTGATTATGAAAGAAAGTTGAAATCGATATAAAAAAAAAAAGTTCTCATTCTGCTAGTTCGATTTCGATATCACGAAGGACGACAATTTCTTTGCATTAAAAATGGTACATTAAAGTTATTGCTAAATGTTACATTTGACATTAATGTGTGTTCTATGTAACAATACATTCTCTCCGTCTAGATATTTTGTTCTTCATATTCAATCAGTACTCTTTTTTTCTATACGCTATTGATTGATATCTCTGACATCTGGACACCACCTGTACACAAATAGAAGAAATGTGTATAAGCGATAGATAAAACCTTTGAATTTAAAAAAAAAAGTATCTGTTGTTCATATAATACAATAAATAAATCAACAATCTTATTATTTATATCGATGGTAGTCGTGCTTGAACAACTCAAGACGAACTTTTTTGATATTAAGTTTGATTAAGCATTTTATATGAAACGAGCACAATCAATTCGAAATATCAAGGTGTTAAACGTAGAAATTTTGTTTTTTGTGAGACGTCGTAGTAACTGGTCGAAGCTGTTTCTAACATTAAAAACATGCTTTTGCATTATTTTTTATTTTATGGCAATTATCATTATAATTTGATTCAAACGAACCAAATTACTTTTCATTATGTTGCGTGTACATCTTTCTAATGATGATACAATCTGTTTTTCTTGTTCTATGCATTTTACACATAACAACATGTTGAACATTTTTAATGATAATGAAGAACAAAAAACAGTTTGTTATTTTACTGATTGATGATCATCATGATACACTCGTTTGATTCCTTCGACGAGACATATCGCCGTATGCAAAACTAATCGATAAGGATGGGTGTGAGTATGGGTGGGGTGTGGATGTGCTTCGATATTATCCACATCCACACCCTTAAATCTCTTTTATTTGTATTGAGATATATTTATCAAACTGATCGAAATTTCGATCATTTTCGTTTACGGATATTTGAACATATCTTGAGAAGTTTTTAAAAATCCGTTAATACATAATTGAACGAAAGCTGATTATTAGTGAAGCAAATATTTCAATCAAAAATTCAATAAACTTCCATGATACAGATTCATAACTGAGGCAATCATTTCGGCATGTAAAAATCATCATAATTATTTATTAGTTACTCTTTAGACGAATTTATATGGTATAAAGTAGTAGTTCTTAGGTTGTATTCAGCAAGAGTAAGATCTAGCCCTTATCATGCTGTTTTAACAGGTACACATCCACGCCATTTATCGTTGAAAACAAGGACGATGCACGGTAGATTGAAGTTCTAGTGTGTATGAGCACTTGTGCACCGTTTTGTCATTCGGTTACATACTCGTGATTGTTTATTGAATAGTTATTAACTATTTTCAAAAGTACCTACTAAAAACGATTTACATCTATGTATATATCGTTCACACAAATAAGATTGTTACTAAAAATAAGAAAAATCTGATTTATAGAACAATTGACTAAAAACATAAAAATTCATTAAAAACTTTTGAATTCATCAGAACCTAGTCTTCTTATTAATAATTTTTTTGTTTTCTTTTGTTCCTTTTTCGCTTGTTTGCTACTTTTTTCTTGTACCATGTTTCGGCTTTTTTTCTTATGGCTTCATTTATTTTCGTAGCGCTTATGTTCGATACATTCATAGTATCTTTTTCTTCTTTGCAAATATCTTCTCGTAACCATTTGAGAAATATATTCATAGTGTTCATTTCTATGGACACATTTTGTTCACGCATGTAGTCAAGTCCTTGATACATTCGATTTTCTGTACATGCATACTCAATAAATTCACCAACATCGGCAAATCTTGTTGCTTTAACAGACACCAATCCTTTAGCTTGCGTGACCAAATGCTGTCGACCTTTGACTTTGAAAGTAAGATTACCACGTGTTTGAACCCATTCGGTCCATACAACACCTTCACCAATGCCTAATCGATTAAAATAAGTACCTACAGGGCATTGTTGTTCAACTTGTTCAGCAATTTTTGTCAATATATCCTGTGAAAGTTCAGCATTATTAAAGTCAATGTCGATTGTGTAAGTTGGAAAATCTAAAATATTATAAATAGAATATTCATGCCATTTTATATTTGTCCATTCTTTTGGATCGAGCCAATAGGTCCTTACAGGCTTTTGTTCTTGTTCTTGATTATCTGCATCAGCAGTATGTGCAGTTGTCTCCGATTGATTTACTATTTTCACTTTGAAGATAACAAACATAAGTGGAAGGCCACTAATAGCTACATGTTTTTGAATATTTCCACCACACCATTCACCATAAATGACAACTTTATCACCACCCATGTAATGTTCACGGATAGTTGGGCAATACGGAAGAACATGAGCAGTGAAAAACTGTCCTGCAAGAGAATTCATATGTTGAGCGAAATCGGCATAATCATCATACGGTGTGATCAAACGATTTCGTGATTGATACCAGTAACCCGATTCTATTTGATATCCAATGGCTACATTGGAGCCATGCAATTTAACAGTGCCAATGAAATTCAATGTAGGTAGTTGTTTATCATGATTATCTGGTGAGAGACTTGCGTACTTGTTTACATCGTCAACTACTTGTCGAAATTGTGGCGTTGTCGGATATGAAATATGAATAGCCATAGGAACAGACAAAATTTGATTCTGAATAGAAAAAAATAATGGTACATGTATGTTTCAGTGTAGACATTTTATATGAGTGAATACTTGAATTGTGTAATTATATGAGTCATGTAGAAATAAAATTGCAACATATGTCAATAATGACGAAGCGAGCAAGGAAGTTTGTAGAGAAGTGTAAAGAATCGTCACATTGTGGAGAATGGGTGTGGGTGTGAAATGTGATTTTAGGTGTTGTTCTCTTCTTACACCCACATCCACACCCACTTCTGTCACCAATATTCACATGAACTCTCGAACAGTCCATACTCACAATCAGAAGCTAAGTCCAGTGCTAGGGTGTGGATGTGATTGTGAGCGAAGGGCAGACGAATACCCACATCCAAACGTTTGTTCGAACCAATTCGGAAAGAACTCTTCTATGATATTTTTCTGTGATTTAACTCGGTATTTTTACTCTCACTATGCGTTCTAAAACTCATGATTTTATTAAATGCACAACATTCTGTATAGAATAATGTAATATGTTTCGCATTTCATCAAGCCCCTTTTGAAGTATTTTTTATGATCCTTTCGTAGTTGCTCGATTGAGTCGACGTTAATCTCGTGGAATTTACGTCGCCACAAATATTTATTCGAAAGACAAAGAGAAAAAAATTGTAGAAAAATAAATTCCTTATCCAAAAAGATTAAAAAAATAATTAAAACAAGTACTGAAAGGCTCAGCAATATAACATAAAAGCCGACTATATATCGTTAAGTACTGCTTAATATCGAAATTTGTTCAAAATCTTTGATTGTAAATCAATCTTGATTTTTGAAATAACATAATACAAGACAAAAAATGTTTTCACTATCAAATGAACAGGAAACAAAAGTAAATATTAAGACGAATGTAATTGATTTTTTTTTCTTGATTATTGAAGATCATCATCAACTTCTTGTTCTTCATTTTAATCGTGTTCATTGTCAAAAATTATTTAATCTGGAATCATTTCACGCTGTAATGATTCAGTTAAAGCACAATTATCAGAAGAATTTGTTATCTTTTGAGTTTGTGAATCGATTTTCTGTTCTTCTTCACTTAATAATTTCTTAATTTCTAATTGATTTTTTAATTTCCGTAAACGTGTTAATATTGATGAATATTGAAATGATCCACGTTTTTCACCAAATGGATCCTTCAATTAACCATGAAAAGCAAATAAATATTATTTTTAATATTTGTACATACCATCATTAATTGGTCATTTTTATCTGTATTTTCTTTACATACATTAATATAATAATTGTAAAACTCAAAAAATTGTTTTATCATTATTTCACTAAAATGAAAATAAGATTGTTTTTCTTCTAAATAAATTTCTATTGATTTAAATTTACTGTAACTCTTGTGGACATGAATTTGAATTTTCAAGCATTTCGCACACAGCAACACGTAATGTTTCGTGTTGTATGATTTCCTTATAAGTTTTCGAATCACCTAATCGACGTTCCTATTTTTAGACGATTATTTTTTAAAGAGAAAATTAAACAAACTTTTCGTTGTTTTCTATACCTGTTTCAAACCGGGTTCATTATAGTATGGGTTTTCTGACATTAAGGATTGAATTGATATAAGTAGAGATGGTATACCAAGAGCTGGAGACCATGATGGTCCTTTCATAGTACTTAAATATATCAATTAATACAAACTATTAAATATATTAGAAATCAAAAAATCTACTGAATAATCGACAAACACACTTTGCCATTTCGATAAAGATTTGGATTAAAACGAACCGTATTATTGCCAGTTGTTATTAAACGACAACGAGGTACTCCAAATGGACTAGAATACAAATAAAGATTTGTATCAATTGTTAACTTGTTCAGACTTACTAATTAGGTGGACAACGTATTATAAAATAAAAGAATCCACCTTCATATGGTGTAGCAGACGGACCAACAACAAGAGCATGGATCTAGAACAAGAAGAAAAGCTTTTTAGTTTAATCTTCCTGCGGTTGAAATGTGAAACTCATGTATCTTCTTTAGGATATATGATTCTAATGCAAAATATACGGTGTAAAGTCTGTCGAAGACGATGATTCTTTTCCCAAGATGATTGATTGTAAAACAAAGACTGTCTTTTTTTTTTTACAGTTCCAAAAATTTTCTTTTCTTATGGACACCCTAGTTTTTGTCTTTACAGTTGCTATTTACTCATTGTTTCTCATTTTCATAATTCTTTTTCTTAAATTATTATGTTTTATGAGAAACATTGAATTCAATGGCAATTACGGCTGCTAAAAATATCCATTATTTATTAGCAGTTATTTAGGGCTGTCGTAGGAGAATAAGGCTGAGAAACTTCGACTTAAAACTTACACTCCCTATTTTCTTCAAAAAAAAACATACACGAATTCTACACAACAAGTGATCCTTTACGTAAATCAATAGAAATATTTTATACTTTTGTCATATTATCAGGATCAGAAACAATAAATATTCCTGGTAATGGATCTTTGAATATACGTTGAATTTCACTAATCAAAAAAAAAACCATTATGTTAAATATTTGATTTAAAAAATAAAATGTGTACCGTTGAATTCTTTTTAAACAAATGGCGCTTGGTATTTGTTCATCCCAATCCGAAGAATGTAAAGGATCCCATGAATATTTTATTACCGTTGAAATATTATCATTAGAAACTACATTTGTAGGCTGTTCAGTTGATTGATCATTTGTCACCATTGTATTATTAGAATCACTCATTTTTATTTGTCAAAGGAAAATTTCAAATTCTAAAGTGATAATTCATATATTGAAATTTGTTTTACTATTTCTTTTAAATTCGATTATGAAAGTTGGAGACGATTAGCACACATATTTTTATATTGTCACAGTTAAGATATAAATATTTTGCAATTACATACGTGATTTGTATTTTCTTTGGTTTTTTTTTCTTATCTACTCATAATAAAAACTTCAATCGTCATACAGGGTTTTCATGACATCAGAAAGTAAACAAGAAATACCCATGAAGCCTCTAATGAAAAAAATCATGGAAAAACGACCCATTATTTCATTAAAAATCTGAAATAATTAATTTTAATTTGTTAGTTTCAATATTTTCAATGGATTACAACGCATTATCGAGAATCATGCGTGATTCATCAACAATTCATTGTAAAACAATGCATTATTAGAAATTATGCTGAAATTCATGATAATGTAGTGAATTAGGGTGTCGGTGTGGGTAAGTTTTTAGAGAAGAGAAAGTAACCCATATATTCACGCTCATATCCATGCCTGCATACACGCTCACAAACACTCCATTTTCCTCAAAGCGAAAACTTTTTACAACCTTTCTAAATAAATCGACTTTATCTGGCTTCTCGAGAAGAGAATATATATCCAATTTAGAGGTTTTCGAAAAGGAAAAATGTTGCAATAGCTCTCAGGAATTTTACTATTGAAGGCCGCGACGCCAGTGATGACTGTTTAACAATTGGGTTCTTTAAAAAGAAGACAACAGTAAAGTTGTCATAAGCACAGATATTTCGAAAAAATATTTCAAAGGAATACTTTAAAAACTTCACAGAGTCCTATCGCTTTTGCTGATTGCCAATGAATAATTCTCAATCAGTGAGGGCATATGTACCCCTCCTTTCCCCACTTTGAGGGCCTGACAACATGTTCGAGCTTAATATCGGTAAACATCTGGAGGTATCATGTTCTAACTTGTTTCATGTGTACCATCGGTCTTTTTCGTTGCTTTTTGTGACTGTACTATTCTTGAAATAGCAAAAATTTCAATGAGTCCTATCAAAACCGAAAGCACACGAATAATCGATTGATGATGTAAGTCAGTAACAAGTGGCTCTTATCAGAACCATTCTTCCAGTATAAAGAAAAAAAAAGAAAAGGAGATAACGCCATAGAATGAATCACCGAGAGAACAATACGTGGAGTTGAATGATATTGGTTTAAATTGATTACTTTTTCGCAAAGAAACAAACACCGCAGACTGTAGTCTATCTTTCTAAAGATTGATTTCATATGAAACTATTGCTAAATGAATCAAAAAAAGAATATAGTACCAAAAGAACAATGCTTTTACGAAGTCTTGCAGTGCGCATCAGAAAACTATTCAATTATTTTTACTGTATTGACTATGACACTAGACTTCTTATCTAACGCAAACAACAAAATCTCATCGACATGTATCCTTCACAGTCACAACTACATATAAAACACTACCCAGGCAGGGATAAAAATCGTAAAATGGCATTAAAATGCCTATAAATGGTAATTATTATAATGATGTAAAACAGTCACAAAAAATGCCAAAAAATGCTTTTCATGTTAGGCATTGTTTGAAGATAAAGACAATCATTGACCAATTGGAATAAACTAATTAGATAATTTAGATGTAGAGAAAACAGAACATTAAAACAGAAAGCAAAGAAAAAATAATGTTCCAGTGATCGTTCGGGTATAAGCAGTCGTAATAATAAATGAATATTCTGAAGATTATGATAAATATACAATATCTCGAGATAAAAATTTATTCTGAATAAAAGCTAAGAAAGTTGCACCGCATTCGTAGAAAAAGTGTAAAAGACTAAAAATCTCGATTATTCGTTCATTAAAAGGATATGCCTTACTCTTAAGCCATCATTTTAAAAGATCGTGGAATGAAACTTGAGAACAACTTAATGAAAAAAAAACTGCAGTTAGTTGAAACGTTAATGTAACAGCTAGGAATTCATTTCTCTCTGTAAAATAACAAATGGACATAGACATATATGTCACTTGATCACTTTACACAGCTACTCATACAGTACTTAACATATACATGTACAAGTGCTCGTCATGTATATTACTGGGTCTCTCTTTCAATAAAATATAAATGTTAGAGGAAAAATTAGAATGATGCAAAAGCCATAAAGAAAATGTCAAATCAAATACTTAATAAGTTTACATATGTATGTAAAACTTGGCAACACACGAAACATTTTTAATGCTTTGTCTTACGTTTTGGTATTTAGTGGACAAAAATAAAACATACTGCATGTAAAAAAGATTACGCTTTTTTCAATTAAAGACATTCGATTTTCAAGAAGAAACTTTTAAATATGCTGCATATCGTGAACAGTACGATTCTTCTCTATTTGAGAATTGTCGATTCATTTTTAAAGCCATGCAAAAATTATTTGTTTTTGACTACTTCTAAGTTTATCTTCATCATAATCGCAAAATCCGATTGACTCTTATTGCGTGAGTTTCGAACTATATTCTTGACTTTTGTGTAGAATATGAACTCTAGTAAGCAAAGACTAGTAAATCGTGTAATTTTTAGTAACTATATACATACTTAAATCAAATTAAAATTCGAAAAATAGATTTGGTGATCATAAAATGATCAAAATGGTTCATGAACGAATCAATATACATTTTGGTGGTCACATTACCATTTTTCGCTTTAAAAGATGCATTTTAATGACTGAAATGGTCTAGTTATGGATAACAATGCATTTTAATGATCATTTCCTCATTATTCATTTGACAGGGTATAAGTCACCAGCGTTTAAACATGAAGTAGCCGAACTTCTTTGAATCCTTCAAATAACCGGTTCATAAATATCAATAATTGATGGATGGAGTAAAAGAAACAATCGATTCTAAAGTGAAACAAGAACTGGATTTTTCCAAGAATACCACCGTAAATGAAAAGCTATGTACTTCCACTGACGTATATATAAAAGAGACTCGCTACATACTACTATTAAAAACTCGATTTATTCAGAAATTCGTTCTACTTTGGTTCGACTCTAGCATTAGAGAATCTAAACAGGATTGACAACACATAACTGCTCAATTTGGACACATATTTACTGCAATCAAGATGTTTTCTTATGGGTGTGGGTATGCGTATGCATATGAGTATGCATGCCAATGAATCTCGTACCCACACCCGCACTCGCACCACATCCATCCGCACCCACACCCACACTCGAACCGCAAAACTTCGTCCTGAAAGTCATGCTCACTATTTTCTTCAAAAATATATGTAAGTTCCACAAAAACCATCTATTAGAAACAGCCACATTTAGTAGACTCGAACTCATTATCGAGTCCGAGTTGTTTCACGTTTGGATCATCATTTTCTTCAATGACAGTGACCCATCTGACGATCTGTGTTGTCGGGTCTTTAATGCAGAATTCATCTAAGTTGTCATCTGGATGAATACAATAACATGTGTCATATTCAGCGTGCCATTCACCAGTTCTGGCTATATCTTGATCTCTGGAGTGTCGGTGAACGACAAGTACCTTGCCCATGTTTACTTCGGCTATAATCCATGCACCAAAACCACCTGCTGCACCCACTTTGCCGATGGTCGCTTCCAATGACCGTGCAAAATATACACCGGGACCTATCATACCCTGTGAGCTTGGCAAGAAGCCACCTTTCGCAATTTTGACAGCTGAATCAGCTTTGGTAGTATGAAATCCAATATAAGTTGGTTGAGGTTTCAGTTTCTGTTTAGGATCGAATGGAGGTTCTGGCTTTGGAAGATCAGTCCAACGCGCCTGTGGTTGATATCCACTGGAGTGAAAAGTAGCAATATGCTCTAATCCACGACTTGGACATGGATTATTGGAGCAAGACTCATCTCCCCAAATATGTTCATTACGATATGCACCGACAAGAATATAAGGTAGATAACGTGCGTGTTTCCATGCTCGACAGCAGCAACATGTCGTATCTAAATATGGAGTATAATGCCACCAGACACAGTAATGATACAAGTCAAGAAAAACGGTGAAGAAAAGAAAAATCAGTGTGAATCCAGCCAAACCAGCTAATCCCTGAGCACGATTGGCATCAATGTTGCTTGATACATATAAGGCAATGGCCACAATTCGAAGTATAAGAATGATGATAAGAAAGCCCGTGCGTACTTGAAAACGAAGCTTTGGCCGGGCTCTATAGCATGGACAATTGCAATCTAATGCAATGATGCGCCGAAGAGCTTTATTGTTCCAAAATTTTCGAAAACATCCAGTAGTGTTGATCTCTTCAGACGCAGAGACCCGCTCCTTCGAGCTGCTATTGGCGAAAGCCACAAGGGCTTTTAATATAACGATGATAATCAGAAGTGTTACAAACAAACCCGTCAATGTGGGTACAATCGAACTAATCCAATCGATGACAAAAGCAGCCACATATTTTGAAGTGTAGTTTTGCGATTGAGATGATAGTACTTGGCTGCTGCTAGACTGTTGAGATGAACTTGTTGGAGTTACAGACGAGAAGAAGAGAACAATTCGAATAATACCACATAAGAACTCAATGAAGGCAATGAAAATGTGCAAATGAGGAAGCGCTTTATAAATGATCGTCCAATGGCAACACCACGTTCCCATTATACACACTAAAATGACATGTGTCGCAATGAGAATGTGTCGTATATGAATTTGACGCGTTCTTTCTGCTGCCTATCAGAGGTGTCCACAGGGCATATTTTTTCGCCCTGCCCTGCCCTGTTCTAGGTGTCTGTTCCAACCTGCCCTGCCCTGAAAAAAAATTATTTGAAAATTTTCTTCCTGCCCTGTCCTGCCCTGCAGTACAGGACAGGACAGGGCAGGACAGGATGCCCTGCAGATCAAAAAGAATATTTTAATGCTGATATTTTACCCTAATACTACCAAGTGAGTCAAAAATGACTCATACTTAAAATGTTTGAAATACAGCGGAAATATTTTGTTATTTTCTGATTTTCAACAGCAAGTAGTATTTCGCAACGCATTAAATTGTAATGTTGGGTCTAAAAAAGATACTCATCGCCTCTTTTTGAATCAATATAAGCCTTTGACGCGATATTAAGTCACCATTATGAAACAAACACAAAGCACTGAAAAAACAAGTTAAATTTATTTTTTAATCTGAAATCGAATGAATAATCTATTATTCTAATTGGATAGCTCAGATCTTTGAGAAAAGTGCTTCTTCTATGGATTGAGAACATCCAATTAGAATAGAAAATGATTCATTCAAGTTCAAGTTCAGAATTTAACTTGTTTCACCTTTCTGTTATATGTTTGCTACATAATAAAGACATCATCGCATCAACGGCTAATATTGACTCAAGAAGGAGTGATAAATATCTTTTTAAATCCGACATTATTATTTTATTCGTGAGAAATGCTATTTGCTTTTGAAACTCACGAAATAATAAAATATTTCCACTGTATTTTCAAATTTTTTAGTATGGATAAAAAAATGGTCCACTAGGTAGTACTAGGGTTAAACCAGGACGCCAAATGTTTTATTGATTCATTATTTAGAATACGATTTTTTTCCTCTTGCTAAAAGTCGTAGTAATTGATTAGATCTACATGATGAAATGATGACAGCAGTAAAAATGCTTGGGAAAGTCTAAATAAAAACATCATTTTCATGAATAGAAGAGAAAGAGGAAATATAGAGATATAAATCAGCAGATGGTGATGGTGATGGTAATAGCATTATTTTATTTTTATTTGGCGTACTAAAGTAACAAGAAGATACTGACAATTGCAAATATATGTTCATTGTTATGATTTCATTATTCTTTTCTTTTCTTTGTAGTACTTTGATTGAACTTTATGCTCATTATAGGGATATAGTAGTTTTATGTACTAGTTGATAACGCTATCTGTGTTGTTTATCCCTTTTTTCACATTTTTGAGACATAAAAATACTCGTATTTCTAAACAAAAGTTAGTATATGTGAAATTTTCAGGGCATGGAGATATCGCCCTGCCCTGCCCTGTTGTTTTGCCTTCTTTGCCCTGCCCTGTAGCAGGGCAGGGCATTTTATAAAATCGGCGCCCTGCCCTGTCACAGGGCAGGGCAGGATACAGGGCAGGACAGGTTTGCCCTGCCCTGTGGACACCTCTGCTGCCTATGCATTCAACGTTTCATTTTGCACAAACAGCTCTACAAAGAGAACTCCACTGAACATATGAAACTTATATATTGTCATATTACTTTTTTTCTAGACTATTTCTCGATTATTCATTAGTCGAGAACATGTCAATCTCAATCGATGATCGAGAGGGGGCTACTCTGAAACGATCTGATGCAGATCGGACCAATTCGAGGCGGGACAGATCTCAAGATCTAGCCTGCTTCAATTTTCAGTGTACGAAAAATTAGATGGAGAAAATTGAAGAAAAACATCATAATTTGTTTTTACAGAAAAAACAAACAAAAAATGTGTTGCATAATAGATGCAAACCACGGCTTCAGAATATATCGTATCGTCGCTGGACTAAATGTGTTGCACGAGCATATCCTGTCCTACTTAGATGTGTCGTACATAGTGTCGCAAAATAATACACATGCAACACATTTCATTGTAGTGTGTACAAAAAGCAACACTCCAATGGTAAGGAAATAGAACAAGTATGATTTCATTTTTGAAAGAAATCGGCTTGAAAAATATTACTATTTTTCTTTCATTGAAAGAATGAGAAGACAGTTTTGGAAGGAAGTAAAGAGTGTATGCTGCAGGATACACACATACTACACTCGCGACAGGATCACTTTAGTAACAAAATGCACCAATGAAAAAAGTTGTTGGAAAAAACCACTATTACAGAGAACATGCATGAAAATGCGTGTCTCTTGTCATCACAGAAAAAAGAATCTATGCCATTACCGTCATAAAAAATCTCATAAGAAGAAAAAATTTTCTTTTAATATGTCGATATATTATTGGTGAATGTAAATATCAGCATCTAATGCAGAATTGAATTCTTTCTGGAATCCGACTCTACTGTTCGATCACGCATACTTTACGGAAGAGAACTTTTTTATTGATCTTCCATTCACTACGATACGAATATCAATCGAGAAAAGTGTTTTTGAGGGTGTGGGTGTAAGCGGGTGTGGGTGTGGGTAGGTGTGGGTGTAGGTGTGGGTAGGTGTGGGTGGGTGTGGGTGTAGGTGTGGGTGTAGGTGGGTGTGGGTGTGGTGGTTGTTCACACTGACATTCCTTTCCACAGCCACAGCCACCTACATCCACACTCACATCCTAGTTTCCGACGGTTGAAATGATCGACCTGGAGTATCATCACTGTTTTAATGACCAGATTACTTACTATATTTGTATAGAACGATGGATGGTAGTTAGTACTGATTTATTGTACAATTAAACTTCCTGATGTCAGTGCAATGATTTTAACAGAATTCATCTTAGAGCATCTTACTTCTAGTACAGAACGATACACGCGTGGCTCATTATGATCCACTATATGTATGTACAGGTAAGCGAACAAATTAGTTTTTTAAAGATTGATTCGTTTTCCATTTAACGTGACTTGAAATTTTTCAGCTTAGTGTATCATTTAGTTGAGCTTAGTTGCTTTTTTTAGTCATAAGTGTTACATTCAATACGAAAAACGTGACTTGTTCTTCTATTTTAAAAATGTAAACTTATATCATGTCTTTAGAAGCAGAAGATCATTAAATAGAAATAATATTTTTAATTTCCTTCTTACTGTTCAGTTTATTTTATGCAATGTTTTTTAGACGATGTAGATTCCTTTACACTATTTTTACTATAGAAAAGCTGTGTCAGATAACGTAAATGTATAGATGTAGTACACAACACTTTTTCTAAACTATTCACAGTGCACCGAACAAAGAAATTTCTAAAACTAAACTTTTTTCAGCACTATCTTCTTACCTGCTATGCTATCGACAGAATAGAGCGAGTATATACGTATATACGGTATGCATATTATGAGTACAAAACATGTTATTTTATCTGATACATGCTTTTATACTAAAAATAGTTGAGTAAGTTAAAACCATTAAGAACTATTCACACCAATTGCTGTCATACTTGGTTCATGCGTACAGTTCCATTAGAATAGTACAACTGCCGAAAGACTCCGGTTCTTGTCTGTGTCTATTTGATATCATACTTATTACAGAATTCTTTCTAGATGAGCAGTTTAGGAAAAAAACATATTTTTCAAGCTTGATTTGCAACTTTGTAAACATAAAGGATCCAATTAGATTATCTCATATACAAAGTATCAGCAGCTTGAAGATTGCAATGCCGGAATATGAGTTGCTTAAAATAGCTGCTTCACAAAATATTAAAGAGTAGATGTTTAGATAAATACATATCCTGATTTTGTGATCGTCAAAATGATGAAACTTTCTGTATGAAATAATCTAATTAAGCCTTTCATATTTACAAAGTTAGAAATCAAAGTTCAAAATATGATTTTTTTCTGAAACTGCACACTTTGAAGAAACTCGGTAAGAGACATTATATTACATAAACACGAAAAAGAATCGGATTTTTTCGGCAGTTATGCTATTATAACGGTACTCTACGTATGAATACTGTATGAAAGCAATTGGAGTCAATAATCTATAAATCATTGCTGGTTGAAATTCAGTGCTTAGAAGCACTTTTAGGTCTAGCTTAAAATGTGCACTTGCACCCGCTTTTTAAGCTAAAATTTAAGCTACTTTAAGCTGGCTTTTTCGCTTAAATTTTTTACATGGACAAAAACATTTTGAGGTTTATTATTCTCTGGGTTTTCTTTGCAGCGCGGATGCGGGATGTCGTTCCGTGCAATCTTTCAAAGCCGCATCAGCACCCACACTCACACACCGATATTGACGGATTTCTTTTAACCATCAGTAGACCTTTCCGTGATCCTTGCCAATGTCAGTTTAAATCTGACATGCACCATTTTTTTGATAAAGAAAATCTAAATCTGAAAATTAAATTGTTTCGAAGAAAATTTCTTTGACACTATAAATTACTGTATATAGCAAAAAAGTAAAAAAATAAACTTGGAATCGGTTTGATTGAAAATAACAAGAAAAAATTTTACTGAATGAGTCCGCTAATTAAATAAACTCGTGTTTTTCGGTGAATATCAGTGAAATAAATACAAATGATAATTCTCATCAACAAAAACATAGTCATTTTCAAACTAATAACAATATTTTTGCTGGTAGCATTTCTATTTCATTTTAAGAGAACAAAACAAACCAGTTATAACATCTAATTTGACCGAAGAAAAAAGCCAGTGAATAAACCATAGTGCCACATGAAACAAAAAATCATTACAACGAAATTCACTAATGTTTTACAAAGATTGTTTTTATCATCATTTTCCTTTTACTCTCTTTCTTTCTTGTTTCATGTTTTCGAACTTCATAACGATTCGTTATCTTTCCAATATCTTGAATGAAATTTTGGCCACTGCTTTCTAGTTAATTGTTACTGTTCATTTCGAAGAACCGATCACAACTTGAAAAAGAAGCTTTCTTTGATAAGACAATCAATAGACAAGCAATATTATTTACACTAAGCTTAATCATAAGCACAATTTAGTTTCAAATATAAGAAAAAACGCGTTTCACATAAAAATAATGGAATACATGACAATGATAAATACGAAAATCAGTTTTTTGTAATGAAGTCTAATTTTGCTCAAGTATTAATCATTCCATCAGCTCATTTTATAAATATTCGTGGGGGTCGACAGCACATCACTTTCTTCGCACTACTGAAAATCGTGCAAGATGCTGACAGACGACACTTTAAACCAGACTTACAATCATCGACGATTGGTATACAAGCCTCATTTTCTTTACGACTGAAAAATCCTGCCCAACTAAAAATAAAATTAACAAGAAAAAAAAAACATATTTTTTTTAGATAAATTCGATGTAATAATTTACTTGGAGTTAGCAAAACTGACGATGAGAATGAGAATAAACCAAAGTCGCATTTTAGTATGTCTTAGTTCGATACACTTCTCAACTGAATAAGAGTGTGTATATATATATTTGCAGAAGTAAGAGATTCCTCTCGACTCTTTAGTCCTACATTATTTGCTTTCTCTTGATAAATAATATGAAGTATATACATAAGTGTATGAATGAATAAGTCTGAAATTGTATATTTGAATAGGTACCTTTTGCAAATAATATCCATCAATCCAGATTATTGTTTGTTAGAGTCCTATGGTACTTATAAGAATTATTCATTTTACTGACAGTAAACGAAAGAAATAAAAAGAAATCCATAAGTACAATGAATGAATTACTCTTTATATGCTAGTATATGAATAATGCATTATTTATGGAAGAAATAAGAAACTTTTGACGAAGTTTCAACGGTATGGGTGTGACTTGGATCAGAGATGAACGGAGCGGTGGCGGGGCTCCTCAAGATTCAGCGGTTCCCTCGCCAACTGAGAAATATTTTTTTGTTTTTTTGCACTATTCTATATGTATTTGGATATGTCTGATGTCATTTAAATCAAGTAATGATTTGACATATTTCTAGGATGAACGATATAGATTCTGTATACGTTTGTCTAAAACCCTGTTTTACAATTTATGACCGTATTACAACATTGATGTCGCTAAGTATTACGATCATGTATTTGTGCGACCACATACGAGACAATTAGATCATATAGACAGACACAGGAAGCAAAGCTTAAACAATGTACAGGTCATCCCAAAATCATAAGGCATTCTATCAATGTTGTCAAAATACATTCATACGATCTTGAGAAGCTCATATTAGAAGGTCATTTTAAAAAAATGAAAAAATCATTAGGACGTGCTGTAATTTGACGATACTTTATACAAGTTATGTTCAGCAAACCCACATTTCAGTTCAAAGTTGAGATCCAACAGCTAGTGCTCGACTTCGTATACTATCCGATCCTACTTGAAGTATATGGAGAATGATGAAAATGCCTTAGAATCAATCAAAGTTGGATCCAGTATTTCTAAATATTAATTTTTTTAGGATGTGTACAGAGATTCAAATTTTCAGCTACTTTCTTCATTGTATGATTGTCAACTATAGCTAACTCTAGAACCTTATCTGTGGATTTACTTCCATTTCTTTTTATTAAGAAATTGCAAATAATTATGGTCAAGACCAAACCTGAAACTATATAAGACATCACATTATACTTTGAAGGATGCATATTAAGCAATACCTTCATGTTTGTAAATCATCATAGTTGCTTTTTCAATAAGACGATGATGCACAATCATCATCTTGGTTTATATAAACCACCGTATCCCAAACGAATTTGAATCTGAAATTCTGTTCTGTCTAGTTGTACTTCTCGTGGTCATATAAAAACACTAGAAATTTGAATGAAAAAAATGTAGTCTTTCGAATATGTCAATTCTTAAAAGCTTGTCTCGAAATGTTGTGTGTCAGTGTGGATGTACCATCATCGTCAACACTCACACTCAATAGGATGTAAGAGATTGATGGCGAAAAAACATGTCACTGGTCATTGTTTGCTCAAAGTTTCAAAGCTAAAATCTTTTTCATCGAAATTGTACGGCTTCCATTACAGTCATACATGGTTCAATGATGATTCCACGAAAAAAAAAAACAACAAAGGAAGAAATTGTGTCCTAGTGATCCGACATATTCGATTTTCACTTCCATTAATGCAGAATGTCATACGACGTCAAGATCGATATTGATCTTATTCTCACATACCATCATGCAAAGATTCTTTCGAACATTTCAGTCCTTTCGTTTCTCCGATTTCACTACAGACAAAAAGAAAAAAGCAAACCAACGCAATGACTAATTCGCCATTACTCTCTATTAGCAATAAGAAGCCAATCATTGCACTTGACTATGATGGTGTACTTCTCGATTATCGAACAACGCTTCCATACATCTACAAAAAAAACTTTTGGAAAACAATTGACTCTTGTCTCGCCAAAATCATATCGTGTGAGTAACATATGAATCATTCTTTCAGCGTATCGAAGACTTATTTGCAATCAAATGAAAAAAATGATTTCCGTCATTTTCTTTCTCCCTATAGGCTACGATTAGATATGGCGTCGCATCTACGCCCGAAGAAAAATCTCAATTCAACGCAGCGTGGGATGTTGATGGATGGCGAACAATGTCTATGCATGATCGAGCTCTTGAAGCTTGTCATTTATTGCATGCAGCTAGTTATGACTAAGTATGTGTCACAATATTGCGTGCTTGTTTTATTGAATATCGTTTGGAAATTTTTCGATTACATGGATTTCCTATTGATCGAATCATTAGCACCAAAGACGACAAAGAAAGTTTAGACAATAATCCGAAGAAACAAGCTATTGAACAATTCCATCCGATAGTTTTTCTCGATGATAAAAAACGAAACTTCCGAGATATTGAAGGCGTACAAATTAAATTTGTATTTATCGATCATGAATTCGAGGATGATCCATATCGAAATGATACTATTCATTATGATGCTAAATATTTAAGTCTTTTGGCATTTGTTAAAGATTTCTTGAACAATGATGTTATCTGGTTGAATAGATCAGATTGTTTAGTCTCTTCACATTTGATATTCTATATTTACTTTTTATTGAATAAAATATTATAAAAGCATGTCTTTTTTAGAGTTTTTCTATTATCGATAGCTTACCAAAGCAATTCTATCTGGTACAGATTTCGTTACATTTATAGGAGTACTGAATAAAGAAATTTTGACTATTTTATTAGTTTTGAAAACTTAAATCGATTCCTGGGGCGTAGGTGTGAGTATTAGATCTGATCTTTGCCTACTCACAATCACACTCTATCGGTTCAATAGCTCAACTTACATGGAACACTAGTACGCTCTACCGATCGAACTCTTGAAACAATCTTCATACATAAAAAACTTGTAATCTTTTCTCTTGTAAAAGCCCAATATAACTTTTTTTGCCACAAATGAGGTTACCACTATATCATCTTAAACAATAAAAACACATAAGTATTAACCTATTTTTCCATCCATCTATCATTCTAGATAGACAACATCATTCCGAACTATATGCAACTTAATTTGAAGCATCAAACATCAAAGAAACAAAAGGGTATAGGCAGAGCAATATTCTAACAAGCAGCATACGAAACAATCTGCAATAACAAAGAGATAAATTTAAAGTCAGGTTAATAAAGTTTCAAGCTCACTGGACACAAAAAAGGTCACATGTGCCCGTCTAAATGATCAGATCGTCAGTTACATTCAAAGTTTTTACTAGGTTGATTTATGGTCCATATAGAACTGCTATCATTTGAAACTTCATTAATTTTCAATTTCAAATTTTGATTGTCATTATAAAATGTATGCCAATCCATTTGTTATTAGAGTGCATTGTCAATAACATGACCAACTTCATCTTGTCCTTTACGGTAACCATTTAAAGATCTGACAAATCTTAATTACATTGTCTGTGTAGTCACGATCTGATCTTGCAGCTTGGCGTAAATGTTGATATTGAACAGCTGCATATATACTTTCAACAAAATCTCCAGGTTTCAGAAAGTATGATATGATGGGATTATCATCGTCCGAGTATACTTCTACCAGAAAACGATGAGAAAAATTAGAAAAAGGATCATATGGAACATTAACATTAAATCAGATAAATTTTATTATAAATTGACAAACAAAAATTTTCAAACTTTCGCCTCTTTTATGTTCACTAGGCTGTGTTTGCCCTTCACCATCTTTTTGCTTGTTCTCGCTACCGCCAGTATTGATATTTTCTTTAGTAACTGACTGTTGAGGAAGTTTGTAGTCGATCCTAACCTTAACATTGGTTGTATACCATCTTGAGGGTGTGGGTGTTTCTTCTCTGAGCATACATCCCCACACTTAAATCTTCGATATATTTAAAAAGTTCACAATCAATAATTTCCAAGATGAATGAAAGAAAATTATTCTAAATATGAATAAATAATTCTTAAAACCTTTATCATTACATATCGTTTCATTTTACCATCAATAGTTTATGAATTATATGAATAAATCAATCGAACATGTTCTTGTACAGTAAAATTCTTCAATCAAAAATCAATAAAGAAAAAACTTGACCAAAAAAAACATCGAATAAATCTAATATCTTTGTATAACTTTTTCTCTTTTCCTCTTAATCATTATCATATAAAAAATATTTTTATTGAATAGTATACATTTTGTAGACAGAAAAAAACGGTAAAAGAAAAACCAGATCACAACTGTATAGACAATCTGAAAAGTCATCTATCTCGTGTACTTTCATATGAAAAGTATATGCTCAAATTACCGAGTATCGTTTTTCATATTTATGTTTTCGATACTTTTCACGATTTATTGTCCGTTGATTGCATAAAAACTATACCTCAATTAGCGTTTTTCCTAGTCCATGCAATCCAACCAAGCATGTTTTTTTTAATTTTTTGACGTATAAATCATGTCTTTAGCAATCAATACAATGAAATACGGTTCGAAGATCATGTAAGCTCGATTTTTGAAACAATAAAGAAATTTATATGATATCAATGGTAGTTATTTGTATTTGGTAATAAAAGTATCAAAAAAATAATAATGACCTTAAATTTAGTAATTTTTATGATCGTAGTTGAATTCGAGAGCCATCTAAAGTGTCATTCCAAAATTCGTATGAAACATATTGATTTTAGTAAAATCTATATCCAATCGAAAACTAATCTATGTTTGTCGTCAGCATTTTTTCAGAAATTTTACTTATATTTGCCTTAATGTTGGCAGATTTTCCTAAAATCATTGTTATCCAATATTCATTTCATATTTATTTCGAATTCCCTATTTGTGTTCGCTTTTTTAATTTTCTCAACAATAAAACGAAACCTAAATAATCTATACGATCACCTTGCTAAATTTTTGATATGTTAATTCAAATAATTATAATAACATTTGCCGCATCTTATAGCATGTATCGTATATATTATTATTAGGAGAAAAGCAGTTATGTATTGAAGATGTATCTAACAATACAAATAAGTGTTTTCAATATAACAATGCGAAAGGATCAGATTTCAAGGCACATATATCGACTATAATAATTCTTATAATTTTCATTATCTTCATCTATTTGACATTTTATAAAGTCAAGTTTACAAATGCCAAAGTGTTTCTCATGAAAATCGAAAACAAAATGTCTATCATATTGTACCACAATGTACAAGAACTAAGTTCTATAAACGATGCATATTAAAACAATTAGTAATAAATAATCTTTTTTGCCCTTTTATCTTTAATATAATTCAAGAGAGATTCGAAGACGAAAGAAAACAAAAAATTATTGTTTTTTTTAAATTGAATAAGTTTGATTCAATATTTTTTTTCGGTGAAAACTTTATAGATAATCATCTTAGAAAATATGCCCTATTTTATTCAGCAAAATTTAACATAATTGGAAATTCTGATTGTCAATCACGATATCTTTTCAATGATTTTTCATTGGTTATAGTATCTACTAATCATTGAATATATATTGACAAGTAGCGCTAATTATATTTTATTTAATTAATAAAAAAAATAAAACTATATTTCAAAAGTCAAAAATTCTTATTTTAATTATTTTATTTGAATAAAATATCTTATAATTATTTCATTAGTCAATGAATATATGCCTTTGTTGACTGACCTTGAGGAGGCTAATGAAACGAAGATGGCGATCTTTTTTCTCCGACTACACATGCCCTCTTTTGTCATTTATTCTTTGTCTTTAGATGAGTTCATAACAAATCTGATCCTATGTGAATCGATCGAAATTTATTTTACTAGTCAAAAACAAAAAAAAAAAATTTTTCATAAATATCATTTTAAAAATAACGTAAGAAAGATAAAACTAAATTAAAGAAAATTATTTGAATTTTTTTTTTTAATCCAATCAATTAAATAATTATTTTTAAACAAAAATTATTTTCACATAGTTATTATATAAAAAGTATTTTTTTTTGTTCTAGATAGAATATATATATTTTTGTTTTATTATTTATTATTAATTTTTTATCGACAGCGAAAAGCTCATGCTGATCGCGTGTCATTTATCATCATGAGTAAAAAGTCGATAATATTATCTCCATTAAAACGACCGTCTACTCGTTCATTATCATCATCAACAACAAAATCTATTTCTTCTTCACAACAAGATAAATATACATTTCAATCTGACGACGAAGAACATAATACAAAACCAATACTTATACGTAAATCAAATACATCAATATTAACTAAACGTCCACGTGGTCGTCCACCTAAAACTCCTAAATTTGAAGAACATACAATACGTACATCAATATCATCATCAAATAGTGAAATTGAAGAAAAAAAACGTACAAATAAACGTTCATACGAAAAACCAGTTACACGTCGTGCATCACGTCTTGGTTCACAAACAAATACATCTGTTAATCAAATACGTGAAAAAATTAAAATTAATTCAACACCACCAATTATAATAACACCTAAAAAACGTGGTAGAAAACCTAAAATGTTATCAACAACATCACCATTAATAACAACATCATTAATATCTGATGAACAAGAAAAAAATGAAACAGAAAATTTTTTACCATTATCAACAATTAAACAACGACAATATATTAAAAAATCATTTGAAGATACAAATAATAATAATATGAATACAAAAATTGATGAAAAAGATCTTATGCAATTTGGTTCACCTGAACAAGATGATTTTAGTGATGATTCAGTTGATTTTGTATGGAAAGGTTCAAGTAAAATGGCTATTGAAATACTTAAACGTCGTATACCAAAAGATGATATACGTGAACAATATTCATCAACAACAATAATACAAACAGATCCAACAGCACAACGTAAACGTGCTATTATACCACGTTTAACAAATTTTGATGCTTTATCAGGACAACCTATTGATAATACAATAATACCTAATGATAATAATATTGAAGAACGTTTAATAAAAAAAAGTAATTCAATAATAACATTAAATAATGCTTTTCAAAATGATTTTGATTATTCATATAATGATACGGGTACAAAAATGAGTACGACAACAACAACAACATCAGCAACTGATGATGATAAACCACGTCCTCGTGTTTATGCAGTTAAAAGTACAACAATGAAATCACGTTTTCAACAACAACAACAACAACAACCAGATATCAAACGACCTAAATGGATGAATGATCAACAAGGAAAACCTGATGATGATGAAGATGATGAACATATACAAACAACTGGTGATGAACCAAATGATTATGATTATGTACCAAAAGGAAACTATATACCAAAACGTCCTAATTATCGTGGACGTGGAACATATCCAGGTCGACGTGGAACTGGTATGCGTGGAAGACCACCAGGTTCAAGACGACATTGGAATAATGATGATGATGATGATGATTATGATCAATATGAAGATACAAATTCAAGATATGGACCAAGAAAACAAACTGCTTATCGATCAACAAGTAAACATTTTTTTTTTTTTTATTTTGTTTTTAATACAAAAATTGCTGTTTTGTGTTTTTTTTTCTTCTCTCTCTCTCTTATTTCAAGGACCTATGTATGATATGGCTGATGATGATGATTATGATAAAAATCGTCGAATGAGTTTAACACAAGCTTATCGTCGTAGTAATGATATACGTCAACCAATTGGTAATCGTCGTATTGGAATTAATAATGGAAATCATCCAAATTATAAAGTAAGAAAATTATTTCCAAAGAAACAAAAATAATCAAAATTTGACTGAGCATCTCTCTAATGTTTCATCTGATTATCATATATTAAAATAGAAATAATATATTTTTAACTTTTATTAATCATTTTTATATTTGTAGGATGATGATTATTATCAACAACAACAACAATCACGTTCAACAACAATTAATCGTCTTCCAACAACACATACAACATCAATGAATACGGGTAATACATTTGTTGCAAAAATCAATGATGCACAATTAAGTGAAGTTGCTAATCAATCACAAATATTTTTTGTTAATATGCCACAACAAGATCAAAAAAATCAACAAGTATTATCTGTACTTGCATCTGAACAACAACAAGTTTTACCTGTTGCTGTTGTACAACAAGCAAAAGTTGAAACACCATCATCATCATCAACAAATAATTCAACAACATCACAAAATCAAACATTAGCATTTACAGTTAAATTACCTGTTGATACACCTAAACAAAAAAAAATTTTACCTAAACCATCAACAACTAATTTACAAACAAATTCAATAACAACAAATACAAATACACAAAAACCATTTGCATGGTCACGTCCACCAGGTCGTATACAATTAAATAATGATGAACAAAATATTGGTAAAGGTTTAACAATAACACCAATTAATACAGATTTAGATACAATGGAAGCTGCACATGTTTTAGCAACAGCAGCTGATGTTACAATGGCGGCTGATGCACGTCGTAAAGCACAACAACATGATGATGATATGTCTATGATTACAGATGAAACACCATCAAATATAGTTAATGAAGAAACTGTACAATGTGAAGATGATGGACAAAAAAATCAAATACAACAAATTGGTACAATAACAGCTAATATTATTGATGAAAATGGTGTTGAACATACTGTTCTTCTATCAACTGAAGAAGCACAACAATTACTTGGTTCACAAGGAGCTATTATTGTTGATGGTGGTAAGTATATCATATATATATGTCAGCGTCCAAGCTCAGATTGGACACAATTCTGTTCATTAAAATATCAATTATCCTTTAGACAGATCTTGAATTCGAACTATCTTTTGAAATTATGTTCACATAATGTTGTTTTAAGTGTTTTCAAGCATTTAAGAAGAATCTAAATTTAGACTCAAAAATTTAACAAAAGTTATTGTTCTCTAGAAATTTATTTATAACTTCTAAAATTTTATTCAAATCTATCAAATAACATATGTGTCAAACAAATTGGCATTGTGTGAGCATAACTCAAAAAAAAGAACTAATTCGAATCTAAGGTCTATCTAAAGGGTAATTGATATTTTAATGAACAGAATTCAATCAATCCGAGATTGGAGGTAATCTCAGTTTGAACGCTGACATATATATTTAATCAAAATGAATATAATTTCGAACTTTAAATGAATTATTCTTTTTTTAGATGGTCAACCAATATCAATACAACCAGCACAAACTCAAACATATCTTTCACCATTTGCACTTGATCAAGCACAATTACAAGCATTACTTACACAAGCTGGTATTGATCCAAATACACCATTAACAATCGAACAAATTGATCCTAATCAACAACAACAACAAGTTGCTACTTTATGTACATCACCTGGTGGTACACAATATACAGTTCTAACACAAGGACCTGCACAACAACAACAACAATTTATTTTACAATCAGCATTAACTAATGAACCACCACCACCTCCTCCACCACCACAGCCTATAGCACCAAAAGAAGATCCTTCATCACCACCAAAACGACGAGCATTTGCAGTTAAATCAACAATATCAACAGCAGAAACATTTGATGATATGAATGATAGACCAAGACGTAAAATATTTGCAACTAAATCAACTGTAACACCAATTGGTAAAAATATTTAATGAATAATTTTCTAAAGAAAATTTTTTTTTTGTTCTTCTCTTGTCTTTAATTTCTAGAACAGATGGATGATGAAGGTATAACTGGTACACGAGCATATCATCGAAAATAACATTTCTTTTTTCTTTTTTTTGTACAAATTGTCTTGTCATTGTTGTTTTAGTTTGCATTCTGCTTCTATCTCGCATAACTCTAAGAGTATAAGGCGAGTTATTCTATATGATATATATTTAGTAGATTTCATTTATTCTTTTTCTCTTTAATGTATCTATATACATTTTTTTTTTGTTCATGATATTAGCCAGCCGCATTCTATTTCATGTAAGTGTATGTGTTTATGAGTGTGTACAGTGTGAAATTTGTACATGTATACAGAAAAACAAACAAACAAACAAACTATTGAAAAGAAAAAAAAACAAATATATTCTGTATTGACATGTTGCTTTGGTTTTTTTGCATTATCCTTCTTTGCTGCCTTGTTTTCTTTTTTTTTCAGTATTACGTCAATGGTTGATGATTTCATGTGAAAGGAAGAGTTCATTTTTTTTTTTTTGGAAAAACAAAAGAATAAATCTTTTTTTTTTCTTGTCATAAAGTAGACTAAATGATGTAAAATGACTAATATAAATACGTATCTATTGCATCAGATTGAACAGTTCTATATTAGAACAATTGGGTTTTTTTTTAACCTTTTTGTTTTATGATAATTCAGCAAATAAACAAAATAAAGTAAGGTAAATTTAATTTGCTGATAGATGATAAATATGAACACAAATTCGAGCTCGATCTAGTCGCAAGACACAATCTGATGCATATCTTATACAATACAAGATTGGGAAAATGTCACTTTATTCTATACTATGATGAATGATATCAATTTATCTAGTTTAACCTTTAACGATAAAAATTCAAAGCACCAACCGACCTCTCTATACGTATAAGGTAGTTGTAAAGGCTAAATGTATTCTGAATGATGAGCTCTCGAGTATGTTATAACTGACAATGACAATGAATACACAACTGAAATGTAGCTAACTAAGAGTAATGCAATGTCAATTCAATATCAATCAGTAGATGAAGATAAGAAGTAAATGTTTCTTCTGATCGATATTAAGAATCTTTCTGTGGGATTTCATTGTAATGATATACGTTCTTTTTTTCTTTTAATGTCATGGAACAGTACTGATTTCACAAAACAAAAAAAGTTTTGTTAGAAAGTCGATAGTGAATTGCATCATTTGTTTAGATTTAATCAGTTTGAAGTTAAGATTTTTTTTTTCGTCAATGACTAGACATATTGGAATAAAATTTAAAATTATACAATTTGATAAACTTTATTCGACCATTACAGATATACTGTAAATATCCCTTAAATTTCAAATATCTTAATCTGTAAACATATTATTATTAGAATTTAAACTACTCTTCATAAATAACAGTAAGTAAAATCAAAAAACAGAATGAAAAAGCTGTTAGCACAATCCCTGCGGGATTAAAATGTAAAACATGATGTAGTTACTGCTGCTAATCACAGAGAGAGACTATTTTATTCTATCTATTTTGGGACACATTTCTTTTTTTTTTTTTATTATCTTTTTACTTAATCTTTTAGAAATGCAAAAAGGAAGTGGTTTAGAATGAGACATTGTTGATATATGATCATTGATTGTATATCAACAATGTATGTCATAGTTTCTTATGATTTCATTTGCTAAAATGTCTATTTCAACTTCAAGTCAATTGAAATAAAATCTAGTTTTATATTTTTAAAATATAATAATTGCTTGTGTTTTTAGAGTTAAACATTATTTTCTTTAATACAATGCTATTTTTTGTTTTTTGTTTTGAATATTAGTCATATATTCACTTGATGTTTATGTTGGAATGTATACTAATCAAAATTATCAAATTCTAAAAGTTGAATCACTTAAAGATTTATATTAATGTGCTAAAACATATATAATTTTAAAGAAAAAAAAAATATATATTTATGATGAAATTTTTTATTTTTATGTACAAAACAAAAAATAAAAATCTATAAAACTATGAGATGAAGCAAATAATGACAATACTAATAATTATTATAATCTAGTTAGATGAAATTATTATATATATTATCATCTTCTTTTGTATATTTCTATCAATGATCGATTGTTGTCTATTGTTGAAAGTTAGAAAGAAGGAAAAAATTGATTGGATTCTTCTTTTTTTTTGACGACTCGTCAGAGATTTATCTCTTATTTCTTCAACGATGAATATTGTGTGTGTGTGTGTTTGTGATGTGCGAGTCTGTGAATAAACTCCCGGAAACAGATTGCATTCTTTTTCTCTCTCTCTCTCATGTTTATGAGTTCTCAGTTCGTTGTCTTTTGTCTGGGTTATAAGTGCAAATGGGAACTGAGAACACGAGACTTTACTACTATTGAGAAGATCTTGCTTTTTATATACAAGAAGAAAATGTCATAATGTGTAGTTCATTCTATAGCCGCTATAACTAGTCGGAGATCTCTCTAAAGAAAAAACAAGCATGAGCGCGAAAAAGAAAAAAAGAAAGAGATGCCGAGTCGTTAATAGTTTTTCTCTTTCTTTCATTTTCTTGTCGAATAAGTCACGATCGTTGTGCTAGAAAGAAAACCTATATGACAATAATGACAGCACACTACTAGTAAGAAAAGACCAACCGTTCTATCACTTCATTCTCTTGTCTTCTTAGTGTGTATGTAAAAAAAAAAAAAAAAAAAAAAAGAGGGAGAGACAGAATAGCAGCGAACAACACATACAGAGACCATGTAGGTCAAATGATCAAGGAATTGAATCATAATATATATAGAAGAGGAAAGCGAACGATGAGAAACATAGAAAATAATAGAGAAAGAAATAAAAATCATTTGCTGGAGAGCAATAGCAAGACGGCATCAACATATTTCCAATCGCCGTCATACTTGGACGCGCATATATATATATATATCTAGCAAAAACGTGATTTGTATTATAAACGAACAGGTAAAACAAGAAAAAAACTAACAAAGAAGAAACGATCTTTTGTTATCTTCTCTTAATGTTTGCATATTTTGTATAATTAGATGGATGAATATGCTATTTAGATTTCGAAGAACGACTGTGATGATGATGATAATGACAAGAGGAAATAGAAAAGAAGATGAAGAAAGAAAAGAAACATCGTCTGATGTGTTATTATTGTTGCTGTTGTAATGGAATAATATTACTTCAATGCATATAGTAGTAAAGACAATTAGTTGTTCGATATTGATCAGAATAGAGAAAACAAAAAAAAAAAAAAAAAAAAAAGAAATTCTACTCAAACAAACATAGATAAATAGTTTACTTTTTATTCATTTCTTTTTTTTTTTTTTTTTTTCTTTTTCAATCGATATACATTGAGATGAATACAAAATATCTGATAAATAAGAAATTGCTAAACTATTGTCATTCTTATTGACAGTCTAGTTATTCTTTTTATCTTCATCTAAAACAAAATAAGATATATGGACAAATAAATTATTTGTGTAGTTGAGAACACATATTCTTTTGTACGGTGTCGTTTTTTTTTTGTATTGCATGCATACGAAATAGCTTTTTATTATATTGCCTAGAGAACAGCCAAACGTCTCCAACTTTTCATAATCGATGTTGGCTGACTGCTCGTCTAAGTGAGATTGACAATGGCACACACGGGACACAATATGACAGGATAGCAAATTGCGGAATGATAGGGAGCACCGTCTAAACAATAGACATCCATATAGAAACGGAGAATGCTCGTGTGTATGTCGTTATATTGGTATGAAGAAACGAGTGTTCAAAAAAAAAAAATTCACAGACACACAATCATTTCCTTTTCTTAACTGAATGGTTTTCTTAAGTTATTATGTAAGTTAACATTTTATTTTTTTTGTTTCATCAATTGAAAGACAAAACAAATATTAAGTGTAAAAATCTTTATATTGAATATAAGATAGAAAAGATATACACATGAATAAATGAATTCTTTCATATTTATTTAAGAAAAAAAAAAACGTAATCGAGTAATAATATTTAATTCAATGTTTATTTTTGTAGATTATCCATCGTTAAAAAATATATACGCGTGCATGCACACATACAATAAATGAATTGTATGTGTGTGTGTATATGATGAAAATTACTTTTCAATGACTTTTAATGTTCTATTAAACGCATACATTAGCTATCGAAGGGATAGAGAGAGAGAAAGTAATGCTGCAGGCGTTATGTATGTTCCCTTTTTCTATTTTTTTTTTATACTATCGATTCAAACGATAGATATATATTGGTTGGTGTGAATCGGAAATAGGACTTGTTGTGTTACTGTTCGTTCATTTTACCCTTTCGGGCATGTTTATTCGACATAATATGTAAAACATATTATTGGTATAGGTTTTTTTTTTCTTCGTCTTCTTTAGTATTGATTTTGTTTTTTTTCTTTGAAGTGTTTAAAGCAAAAAATGATATGAATAGCTTTGAAAGATAATTTTAATTTAACGGACACAAAAAAAAAACAGAATTTATAAAGAAACAAATGATGTCTATGTCTTTTCATAGTATTATGTCTCGATTTCAGTCTTCGAACCATTGCGTTTTCTCTTGAGTAGAATTATCGTCCTCGTCGTCGTTTTCTCTCTCTCTCTCTCTTCGCCGCCCTTTTGCTTGCCCTTCTCAAGAAAGACGAATGATAAGAGTGAACAAGGCATGAGTGCGGCGAGCATAATGGAACAGAGAGACAAGGAGCAATGGGGGGGGGGGGGGGGGGGGGGGGGGG